TGGAGATCACAGCAGGTTAGGCAGAATCCATGGAGGGAAAGCAAGCTGATGTTTTGAGTCTCGATGATTCTGATGAAGAGTCAAAACATTAGCTTGCTTTCCCTCCATGGATTCTGCCTAACCTGCTGTGATCTCCAGCGTCTTTTGTTTTCAGTATGGATTCCAGCATCTGCAGTAATTTGCTCCAACATTCTGGTAAACCTCTTTTTCACCCTCTCCAAAGTAAGGAAAGGAGTATTGCATAATAAAAACTATGGTGCATATTTAAGGAAAGTAAGTGTTTGCCTCAAGTTTGAGTAAATAATTGCTTACCTGATAAGGACCATGCGGTGGGACATAGTAAATCTCGCCAGGTGCAAGCTTATATTTGTCTTGGTGTATTAGGTCCTTGTTGTATATAATGGATAGGAGAGACAAAAGCAAACGTCTGTCTTTGTCATCTGTGACTCTACCTCCATAGTTACATTCACCTTAAAGAATAAAGAAATGCAAAATAATCTGATTAAATTTGTAGAATGACAATAACATCACCACCTTTATTAATTTATTTAAAATAAATTTTAAATTAATTAATATTGGTAAAGGTACTGAATGATCTGTCGTAATCATGTACCTGTTAAGTATGTTAGAGCTTCCAGTGGTACCTCCTCATATTCATTCAGAAACATCTGGATCTGTCTTGTACTTATTCGCAGATCAGACTCATTAAATTCATAAGGGATATTCCAACCTGTTAAAAACGACAAAATAATCAGTCCATCCTAAACGTTTAAATGCTTTAAACCAATAAATCTTAACTTTTTTACCTCCAGACTAGAAGTTATGCCAAAAAAATCACAATTTAGAACCTGGAATATGTTAAATCTATCTATCTCATGCAAAGGCATATTTGTCATAAATATTTTAAAACCACAAAGTACATTAGAATATATCCTGCGTAAGTATTGTTTTAATTTACTGATGGGAGGCTGACCTAAAGGACCAAAGTTCCTCCTCTCTTGTACTAGAGCATGGAAAAAGCAAAGCCCAAATAGAAGTTTTTCCCAGATTTCAGGTTTGTCACAGCTATTGAAGAAAGTAGCATCTGAGATTGGATCGTTGAGATATGAACGGAGCATATTTGCCCTGAGTCCCTTTGGAGGCTCGTTTGTCATCTTGACCCCATTCTGAAGAATACTGACAGGAAACTTGTCTGATGGGTAACTGGTCAGCCACAACCTGAAAAGACAAGTTTTTTTTTAATTGGCACATGATGTGTAATGTGTACAATATGTATTGTAAAATACTTTAAAATAATTGAAAATTATAAATCTTTTGCATCTTTAGCATTTCTATCTCAATTGCATTCTAAGACAAAAGCCTAAATTCACAAGTTAAAACACATAGTACTTTAAATTAATAACAGACATAGTTTGCATTAGGCCATTCAGTCCTTTATGCTCTTTCCTACTGTTTCATTAGATTATGCATAAATTATGTATGGCTGATGAGATTGTAGTTAGGACATCTTAAAACAAGCTCATAAATAAGCCATCCAGGTAAATTATATATACCATTACAAAACTGTTTCCTTACAGTCTGGAAGATCTAAGAAAAATCAGCCATGAATTGATAAAACCTATGATGATCCTGAACAATAGAACTTTCAGCAACTCAAAACAGATTGATTCCTATGTCCCACCATCCATAACTTTCAACATTACCATCACACGCAACTGTAATCTACAATATTCTAATAAAAGTCCAATTTTCATCTCCTCACATTTGTACTTTATCAGCATCTGAATGAGAGTTGTAATCTCTTCTTATTTTACAAACCACATTGTTGTCCCACAGTCCTATATGCCCAATGTCACCCCTAACCTCTGCAACTGACTTCTCATTTTTCTAAAATGTAATCCAATCCATTGGCCCAGGAGAGTGGAAAAAGATAAACGAAAATATGACAAATGCTTTTAAATACCCAATTAGTGAAACATTATACAAGGAAAAAAGGTTTTTTTCCCCAGTTGTGAAAGTTAAATTCAATATTAAATTATGAATATTGAACGGAATTGTTTTTAAAAGTTGGACCTGAACTCCTTGTGGGTGTTTTCTGGTATTATCACCTCCTCACAGATTTTCTCCAGAGTGGGCATCCAACTAGTTGCAAGATGGCAGTTCTGTAATACGACCCAGGATCCACTTATAATACCACTTTCAATCATTTGTGCAGCGATAGGTCCCTGACCTTGACCAAGTGATATTGTTTGTGTGTTTTCTCCACCCATGCCAACATCATCTGCAAACTTAAGCAAGCCTGAGAACATGGAATAAAACATTCATGAACATAACAGCAAAACATTGTATAATACCACAGACATTTTACAAGTTTCAAAATTGGTAAGTTTTTCACCATTTCATTCTCAACTGCACAGACGATATTGCACATGAACAGTATAAGTAAAGAAGATGAATTTCCACACAAGGGCCCCCTGTATGACTCCATATTTTACACGAAATACCAAAAAGGGAGGTAAGACTTTTATTAGAGGCTAGGAATTCTGTGAGATGTAATTCACTTCTCCTCAAAGTCCATCAACCATCTAAAAGGCACAGAGCAGGAATGTGATGGAATATCCTCTACTTGTCTGGACGGGTGAATTTCAACAACTCGCAAGAAACTTGAAACCATCCAGGATAAAGTAGCTCTCTTGTCTTACTTCTCATCCACAACCTTCAACATTTATCCCTTCACCACCCGCCTACATGACAGCAACATGTACAATCTACAAGATGGATTGTAGCAACCCACTGTTTTGACAGCCCCCTACAAACCCAAAGTCAACTGTGTGGGAGAGATCAAGGGCAGCATATGCATGGGAACAGCACCACTTTGCAATTCCCCTCCAAGCCATCCACAAGACTGACTGGAAAATATATCGCCGTTCCTTCATTGTACGTCTACCTACACCATGCAGACCACCACCTTGTCAAGGGATGCTCCATAAACGCTGGCCCAGTCAGTAACACCCACATTCCACGAAAGAATAAAAATAGTGGTTCCTTTTGACTGAACATATAACAGGAGAAGCTCAAAAGAAATTACTCCTCAAATGATTGGTAATGAAAGTTACCATTCAAACCAAAAGTAGCAGCAATTTAGTTTTAAAAGCAGAGGAAACATCTGTTAACTTAAAAATAAACAACTTACGCAAATCAAACATTTTTACCCTTTGTTCTATACAACACATTGCATTAGCATAAGATTGCAGTTTGCCATTTATATTGTTTGATACTGTGTACCAGTATAAAGAAAGCACAACCCTGATTAGATTAAGAATCTGTAAAATATTTACCTTCTAAACCCATGACCACTACCATCTAGAAGGACAAGTGCAGCAGATACATGGGAACACCACCAACTGTAAGCTCCTCTCTAATCCACTCACCGTCCTGACTTGGAACTACATCGCTGTTCCTTCAATGTTGCTGGGTCAAAAGTAACATATGTGTACCTCCACCAAATGGACTGCTGCTGTTCAAAAAGGCAGTCCACCACCCCTTCTGAAGGGTAAAGAGGGGCAGGGCAATAAAAGCTAGCCTAGCCAGCAACATCTACGTCCCACGAAAGAATGAAAACAAATTTATTCCTTTCATTATTTCCCCAAAGTCTGAAGGATTAATTATTCAACCAATCAGTTTACCTGCCATGGGATCAGCTCCAGGGGAAAGAATAAAAATCAAAGGTGCACAGCAATGGGAATCATTGTAACTACCACCAAGGTCAAATGTTGGAGGTTCAATGAATGTTTTTCCCATTGTATCCGCAATGAATTGCTGCACTGCTGGAATAATTTTGTCTGGTCGGAAGCATCTGATAACAATCAAATGATCCATTCCTTTTAAAGAACTCCAGTTATCTGGAAGTGTTTCTTCATGAGGTTTGGCAGAATCATAAATGTTTTTCCACTTGACTATGTTATCAGTCACATGATCCATTAGACCTTCCAGGCTTGGCAAACTAGATGCCCGGACAATCTCTGACCAGCTTTTTTCTGATAGCCATTCAGAAGCTGGATTGGGAAATGGATTGTCAAGAGCCACACCTCCAGTTAATAGAAAACGCCATAGTTCTTCATCGATCTCTCCGTTACCCTTCATTATCCCCACATTAAGCAGCAGTGAAAAAAGTAGTTTGTCCTTTTCAAACAGAGAACGACAGACATTGTTATAGATACTAAGTGTGAAGTGTTCAGTTATAGCTAAAATTCTTTTAGCCACGTTTTCACTCTTCCTACTGTTTGCAATTGACTGCACGTACAAGTTAATGAACCAGGTCAGTGAGTACTGATACATTGGTTCAATGTGAGCCAAATCAGAGATGCAAAAGAAAACAATAGATGAATGTACAGCAACAGGCTTGTAACCCATCCGTGTGATGTCTATTTCCTTTTCCGTTGCAGTTGCAATTTGTTGTTTTTCAGATATTTCCTCCGAAAGCAGTTTCGAAGAAGATAGCACCTTAATGGCAGTTTCATCTTCCAAGATATTTCCTTGTGATGACGACAAGACTTCTAGAATCTTGTCCTCAATCTCCTTGAGTTGCTTTTTGTTTTGTGCACTCTCCAAGATCAACAAGTTTTTCTTTTCTTCTAACTCGGGCTTTTCTTTGGCAGCTACAATCCCCAGCAATTGGTCTTCAAGCCCCAGGGGTGTAATCATGAAGTTTAAAAGACAAACTTTTACGGCTACTTCTGGGAGATAATGTGGGTTTCTCAAACGAGTGGTAATGTAGAATTTAAAGTCATGTGAATACTCAATTACATTTTCCCCTAACTTCATGACCTCGACTCCCTGGTGTTTATAGGTTTGTTTCAGCAGAACTGGTTCAAGCATGGGATCCAGTTCTTCAGCAATGTTTTCCAACAACAGTGGAGTGCCAAACTGGATGGCATTTTCCAAAGTCCTTACGTAGTTAGAGTCTGATAATTTTATTACTCCTAGTCTGTTGTTTTTCTCCATATTTTTGACCCATTTATTTGCTTGACCTTGAGGATCAATCATTAAGGGCCACCTTCTTGAGTTTGATATAATTATCCCATTGTCAATAGAAAAAGCATCAACTGGCAGCCCAGCAATTTGCCAAGCACGGATTTTCACAGGGTCTCCTAATATGCCACTCAGGGAAAATTCATCCGAACAAGGGATTAATTTCTCCTTACACAGGATGTGCCACTCACTTTGGCATTCATGACGATAATCCACTGTGAAGGCTCCTAAATAGGCTACAGTGCCCGAAGACAGAAGCACATCACCAGTTAGATCTTTATATGTAATTCCTAAAAGTCGGGCAGCTTCAGTCCACCTGTCCTTTTCTCCACCAAGTCCACCAATCAGCTTTTCAGCACGTACCAGTTTCTGTGAGCACAGCTCTATGTTGTCTTCTAAGTCCTTCTTTCTGTTATTCATAACTTCAAAGTCATCATTCAATGCCTGTAGCTTGTCCTCCAAAGCTTTCAATTCTCCACGTTTCACATTCAACATTTCCATCTGGACAGCAAATTCCTCTTCGGCTATTCTCAGTCGCTCACGTTTTGGACCAACCACCTTGATGACACGTTCGTACACTTCCATGGCTCTGACCCATTTACACAAGCCCTCACAGGCAGATGATACATTTTTAATAACAGACGGTTGAAAGTCTGGGTGATCTATAAACCTTTCCCTGATTCTCTTCATGATAGCAGGTGGAATGTTGTCCTTGTCAAACGTCTTCAGGCTTTCCAGGAATTTAAGGTCACCAAGAAGTTTCTTAGATGGGCCCCAGTAATCCTCAATCATTTTACCTGAGTGAGAATGAAGAAAATGTTAACAAGACCTGAAACTTAAACTCTTAAATGTTTTTTGTTCCTGTTATAATAATTTGAGCTTATTTCAAATGGAGAGATCCTCTAGTTACAATAACTTGTTTTTGGTTTATTTTCTCTTAGGCTAAGATGGATAGATTCTTGATCATAGGGAGTGAAAGGTTATAGGGAAAACTCGGGAAAGTGGACACGATGAATGTCGGATCAGCTATGATTCTATTGAATCATGGAGCAGGCTCAAGGGGCTGAATGGCCTACTCCTGTTCCTATTTCTATGGTCGTTTGGTCTTATGGGATGTGTGTGTCACAGGATAGGTCAATATTTATTGCCTATTCCTAATTGCCCAAAGGGCATTTAACAGTCAAACAGATTGCTGTGGGTCTGGAGTCATACGGAGGCCAGACCAGGTAACGATGGCAGATTTCCTTCCCAAAAGGACATTGGTGAACTAGATGGATTTTTACAACAATCGGCTGTGGTTGCCATTAGACTAGCATTTTGTAGAATCCTAGATTCAAAATCTTAATCTAAATTTATCAGATAAATACGTCATGATTACCAGTTTGTCAGAAAATATGTCTTGAAGAGAAATGTTTGTAATATCAGCTATGATGCAGATTCCTTTTAGGTCAATGTATATTTGCCAGTGCGATCAAAGGGCAAAAGATGGAAGAATGAGAAGACAATGAAGCAGGAACCCTCATTCGCCCTCACATTTGCAGCCACCAGCTCATATACTGACACTACATATCATACAGAGGATAACAGAAGCATAATTGTATGTGGAGAGCAGCTAGTCATTGAATGTATATCCAGTGTCATATACCCTTCAGTCCAACATGCCAACCGAGTTTCCCAAACTAAACTAATCCTGTTTGCCTGCGTTTGGCCCAAATGCCTCTAAACTTTTCCTATTCATGTACCTGCCCAAATGTCTTTTAAATATTGTGATTGTACCTGCATCTACCACTTCCTCTGGCAGTTCATTCCACATATGAACACCCTCTGTGTGAAAAAGTTGCCCCTCGGGTCCCTGTTAAATCTTTCTCCTCTCACCTTAAAAAATGCCCCCTGGTTTTGAACTCCCCCACCCTAGGGAAAAGACCTTTGTTATTCACCTTCTCTATGCCCCTCATGATTTGATAAATCTCTATAAGGTCACCCCTCAACCTCCTACACTCCAGTGAAAAAAGTCTCAGCCTATCCTTATAACTCAAACCCTCCAGTCCTGACAACATCCTGGTAAATCTTTTCCAAATCCTCACCAATTTAATAATATCCTCCCTATAGCAGGGCAACCTGTATGTAGTATTTCAAAAGTGGCCTCACCAACGTCCTGTACAACCTCAATATGACATCCGAACTCCTTTACTCAAGGGTCTGAGCAATAAAGGCTTCTTAATTACTCTGTCTACCTGTGGCGCAACTTTCAAAGAACTATGTATTTGAACCCTGTTCAAAAACACTATCCAGGGCCCTACCATTAACTGTATAAGTCCTGCCCTTGTTTTACCAAAATGCAATACCTCATATTTATCCAAATTAAACTCCATCTTCCACTCCTTAGCCCACTGGCCCAATTGATCATGATCCCTTTGTAATCTTAGATAACCTTCTTCACTGTCGATTATACTACCAATTTTGGTGTCATCCACAAAGTTAGTAACCATGTATCCTAAATTCTCATCCAAATAGTTTATACAAATGACAAACAAAAGTGGACCCAGCAGTGATGCCTGTGGAACATCACTGGTCACAGGCCTCCAGTCTGAGAAACAACCCTCCACCACCACCATCTGTCTCCTACTGTCAAGCCAATTTTGTATCCAATTGGCAAGCTCTTCCTGAATCCCATGTGATCTAACTTCACTAATTTAGTCTACCATGCAGTGATTATATAGTGGACATCAGTGGACCATCCATTGGACACTGTATGAATAAAAGTTGTTTTACTCTTAATGCAGAACTACAAGGGGATCAGCTGTTAACAACTCTTGCCCTCCAGTTTTAAGATCTATTTCCATAGAGGAGGCAATGGCCTAGTGGTATTATCGCTGGACTGTTAATCCAGAGACCCAGGCAATGTTCTCGAGATGCGAGTTCAAATCCACAACAGATGGTGGAATTTGAATTCAATAAAAATCTGGAATTAAGAGTCTAATGATCACCATGGAACCAATTTCAATAGTTCAGGAAAAACCCATCATTAATGTCCTTTAGTGAAAGAAACTGCCATCCTTATTTGGTCTTGACTATATGTGACTCCAGGCCACAGCAATGGGTCTTAACTGTCCTCTGGAATGGACAATAAATGCTGGCCTAGCCAGCACCATGCACATTCTGTGAATGAATTTTTAAAAACTGTCTCTAGTTAGAGCTTCTGGCATGGCCATTCTTTTGATTTCCCTGAGTGCAATTACTGTTACATTAACGTAAACAGTTATGCTGTGAGAATTCATGTTTCGATGAAGTTAATCACATACCTGATCCAGTCGGATCTGGTTTTCGTTCTGGTTTGATCCCTTTTATCACACAGATACTTTCCATCACCAACTTTATGGGGCCCGGTGGATTTTGCATTGTCTTCACAACTGTGATATCAGCAGGCTTCAGGGTATCCAGAGCAGCTACAGCAGCTTCAAGTGCGGGCATGGCTTCTGCAAGATCTCCTTCACATTCATCCTGGAAAAACATTCCGAATAATGAAAGTAAAACATTAATTACAACTGCAGAACAATTTCCAGTGTCATGTAAAATATCTTGTGTTGCAGAAAATTAAAGAAAAGCAAACTTTCCTACAACAAACACAGGAACACCCATTCTCGCCAGCTGCTCATTTCTGAGAACGCAATTTCAGTCCCCAATTTGCTCCCTACACCTCAATAATACGTCAATCTCTTTTAATTACATCCATAAAATGTTTAATAACATCCTTAAGCAAAGTAAAATTAGTAATGATTCCTTAGTAAAAACATAATTTACCAACTTATTTTATGAACTGATTGATTATGTTATTGGAGTATCCAGCAATTTATCTTCAGATGTCACTGGCACATCTTGAGAAAACCTATTTCATACAATCGACTGAGACACTAATTTATGCAGTCTCAGAAATCAGGTCCTATGTTAATATTTAATGACATTTGCAATGATAATAGCAGCACTGATATTATACTTTTAAAAAATTACACTTAACCAGACTGATTCCTGGAGGGCAAGACTGATGTGTGAAGTGAGTCTGGATCAGTTAGGACTTTATTCACTGGAATTCAGAAGAATGAAAGGGAATCTCATAGAAAACTATAAAATTCCAACAAGACTAGACAGAATAAACACCAGAATGATGTTTCCAATGGTCAGCGAGTCCAGAAGCAGGGGTCATAGTCTAAAGATTAGCCCATTTAGGCCACAGAAAGTAGTTTTCAAGAAGGAATTAGATATAGTTTTTAGAGCTAAAATTATCAAAGGGTATGGGGAGAAAGCAGGAATGGGGACAGAGTTGGATGATCAGTCACAATCATAGTGAATGGCGGAGCCAGCTAGAAGGGCTGAATGGCCTAGTCCTGCGCCTATTTTCCCATATAACAATCCAGAATGTAACTTGGAAAATCCTAGGTAAAATTGTGTGGAAGAATTTTGCAACATTTACAAGAAGTCTCATTGCGTTGTACCTTAATTTCTTGTGCAGCTGCTGCAGCCTCATTGGCCACAGCTTCATCTGCTGCCACCAACTCTCTTTTGGCATCAACCTCAACTGTTTCCTCCTCGATTTTTATCATCATCTTGTCAGTCTCAGCAGAAGTTTTAATCAACTCTGGCTGCAGGTCTGTTAGCTCCTTTTGCATTACAGACACCTAATAGTGGGGCACAATTCCATGTACATTACCAATTTTATAATACAAGGCAAGAACTGAAATTAGCTGTGTACAATGTATGAATGGTCATACACAATAGATTTTTTTCTATTGAAACGTAGAAGGCTAAATACAATGTGCAAACAATTTACCAGTCCTTTTTTAAGAGTACAAAATAAAGCAGACCCAAGATTTCATTGCTTGAATTAACACTGATGCCACACTCATGGAACTTATTTCCCAGCCTGCTGTAGAAGCTCACAATTTTTATTTCTATTGATTTAGGATTGAAACTAGTAACCTATTCACATAAACCTGAATTTTCACAAAAATAGAGAGGCTCTGTCTTTGCAAAAATGGCTCTGGAATTCAAAGTCCCATCCTCAAAGACAGGAAAGAAGAGAAGGAAATGGGGCTGAATTCCAAAATGCACATCCCATGGTTCAGAGAGGCATCTGCCCTTATAAACCAATGGCAGCCTCTAGTCAGATTTTCATTAACAAGGAGTGGGAAATATGGTGAATGCACATTTGACCTGGTAGGAACAGGTTTAAACTTTGGAGAAACAAAAACAGAAATTGATGGAAAAGCTCAGCACGTCTGGCAGCATCTGTGGAGAGAAATCAGAGTTAACGTTTTGGGTCAAGTGACCCTTCCTCAGAACTGATGTTAGCCAGGAAAATGTTGGAATAGGTAAAGACCATTCTGGATATGATACCGGTACACTTTTGGGTAATGTCCGGTGCCCTTCAAATAGAAGTAAAATGCCCTGTGATTTTTTTTAAAGTAGACATGAATGCGTGTAAAAAGTGCATAAATGCATTGGAACAGACTGCTAACAAAACTGTGACTGAAGATGTCAAAATAAACTGTCCACAGAACAGTCAAAAGGATAATTCTGTATTACTGGATGGTTTGCACATTAATAATGGCAAGCTCATTAAATTTAATCACTATCTTGCCAGTAGTTTGTGTTCGGTGGTGTTAAGATCATATGTTACTCATAGTACTCCAGGTGGAAATGTGTTAAGTCACCACTGGCCAAGAAGGTCCAATAAAATCAGACTCAGTGCCATATTAAACCCAACATGAAAGGCCAAAATTCAGAGTAATTTTTTAAAAAAATTATTCATTTGTGGGATGTGGACATCACTGGCTGGGCCAGCGTTTCTTGCCCATCCCTAGTTGCCCTTGAGAAGGTGGGGGTGAGCTGCCTTCTTGAACTGCTGCAGTCCACCTGCTGTGGGTTGACCCACAATATCCTTAGGGAGAGAAATCCAGGATTTTGACCCCAGCAACAGTGAAGGGACGCAATATGTTTCTAAGTCAGGATGGTGAGTGACTTGGAGGGGAACTTGAAGGTGGTGGTGTTCCCATATACCTACTGCTTCACACATCCTAGGCCCGAAACGTCAGCCTCTCTGCTCCTATGATGCTGCTTGGCCTGCTGTGTTCATCCAGCCCTGCACCTTGTTGTCAATGATAGAATCATAATGACTGAGTCAGTTAGTAAACTCACTTGTGAAGATGCAAACTCTAGTTTCTCTAAACCAACAAGATAACGGTTTCTCATCAGGTCAACTTCATGTCTCTTTTTATTGAGCAGAACTTTAAAGGTCAGGATTAACTCCAGGTAAGAAGTAGGCGTCACATAGTTATATCTTCGCAATGTGGAGAAATATTTAGTTGAAAGAGTTCTTGCACTCTCTTGGAAATACTTGCAGAGTCCAACAACTCTGAAAAACAAGGGCATCGGCAAAGTTCATGTTCACAGTGTTCTTTTGTATACTTCACATCACATGTATTTTCAAGAATTTTAACACAGAATGTTAAAAAGTCACCATATTACCACACAGTTAATTAATCAATGTTTACCATTTGTAAAATGCTGCTTAATTAGATTTTGCATTTCTTTTTGACAAATTGGCACACGTAAAAATTATAATGATCAGGTGAGGAGAAAATATATATACGATCCTTGTGCATAAGTCAGTTTAGTCTGAAAACTGTGGGCTGGACTATGACAAAATTAACAGATGAACTGTGTTGTCAATTATCACCACCACCTTCTCCACATTTAGGGATGGGGAATAGGGCCAGACCAGCCACTGACACTCACATCCCAAAAATGAATAAATTTTTTAAAAACTCAACTGTAATTTAGAACATCACCTAGAACACTGAAGGTAGGAAAGTGAATTTCCTTATATCAAAAATAATTATAAGATGTGTGCAGAAATTCCAATAGCTATAAAGATATGACTGCAGTATGGTTACGTGGCATGTTCACTACAGTTTTCCCTATAAAAATGCTCACTATGTTGTTTAATTTTAAAAGCTAGAAATATACAACCTCTTTCCGGAACAGAACTTCAAAAGCAAACAAGCTTTATATTTATAATATTACTTACAATGTTACCACAGCACACTCTTTTTCAGTGTTATCTTGTCAGCTTCATTTAATAAAACACTGTGGATTATATCATAGTTGACAATGTATCAACAGTAAAGTCATCATAGTTTCAGAAGACCATAGGGCTGCTCTTTCTTAGAGAGAGCGACAACAGGTAGTGGTTTAACCTGAGAGTCAGGCAAGGGGAGAGGTTGAAAAGGAAAGTCCTGCATGGTAACCTCAACAGTCCAACCAACTGAGCTAATTGGCCACACACTAGCACTTCATTGACTTTATACTTTCATGTTTGCTCCCCACCAATGTTCAATGTTCAGTACACAGTGAACAATGTTATGGTGGGTATTGTGCAGCACTCACTACTATTTGAGATAAAGGCTAAATGGACAGGCATCTCAAAATGTTGTTTCTAGGCAGTGCAAAAATGACTCACTGCTTTGAAATTAAATGCCATCTGCACACTTACTCTTTCCTGACTTCATAGTCCAATTCTACATCTTCCAAGAATTTGTGTGCCACCATTTCTAAAGCATCACTTGGCCAAACCTTGAACCAGTCAATGGTGCAGCAATTTATAAGTGATGGGAACATTCGCAGACGATTCCGGAAGGCGTCTCCAATTGGACTCATGACTGTAAGACAAAACTTCCCATAAGACATTGCAGGAAAAGCATGGTCAAAACAATTCTGGTGTAAAAGGAACTCATTTCAAATCAGAACACCAATTTTCTTACATTGTTAAATCCTTAGCTGAAAGCCAGGGGATTTATTCTGAGGGGAAAGGCATCAGTTTTAAAATTACAAAGTTCAGGGTTTGCTATTTCTGTCTCTAATTCAGCGGTGGGAGTCATGAGAACGCAAGCCAGGGGGCAGCCAGGAAGGTAAGGTTTCTGTATAAAACACTTGCCTCATGAATAGGCGGAGCGAAGCTGAGCAAGAGCAAACGCGGACACAGGAACTGCTGGGTAAGTGAACTAATGTATTCAGGCAGTGGCTAAACCCGAAACACTACACGTGTAGTGTCTCCCACCCATCCTCCTCCTCTAACTAAAAATAAAGACTCTGTGTGGAGGATCGGTAAGGTGAGCTTTTCATTTATTTCTCTTTTTTTCTTTCTCTTTATCTCGTTTGGCAATCTAGAGCAGAGGGAATGGAAGCTAGGGCAGTTGCATGCTCCACTTGTAGGATGTAGGAGGTTAGGGTCACTACTAGTGTCCCTGCTGACTTCACCTGCGAGAAGTTCACCCAATTCCAGCTCCTCACAGACCACGTTAGGGAGCTGGAGCTGGAACTGGAGCTGGATAAGCTCCAGATCATTCGGGAGGCTGAGGGGGTGATAGAGAGGAGTTATAGGGAGGTAGCCACACCCAAGCTACAGGATAAAGGTAGCTGGGTGACTGTCAGGAGAGGGAAAGGGAATAGGCAGACAGTGCAGGGATCCCCTGTGGTCATTTCCCTCAATAATAAGTATGAGTATACCGCTTTGGATACTGTTGGGGTGTGGGGGGGACCAACCAGGGGAAAACCATAGCGTCCAGGTCTCTGGCACTGTGGCTCAGAAGGGAATGGGGGAGAATAGGAGAGCGATAGTGATAGGAGATTCAATGGTTAGGGGAACAGACAGGAGATTCTGTTGTCGCGAACAAGATTCCCGGATGGTATGTTGCCTCCTCCTGGTATGTTCGGGTACCAAGGTCAGGGATGACTTGGATCGAATCTACAGGATTCTTAAGGGGGAGAGTGAGCATCCAGAAGTCGTGGTACACATCGGTACCAATGACATAGCTAGGAAAAGGGATGAGGACCTGAAAAGTGAATATAAGGAGTTAGGTTGGAAGCTAAAAGGCAGGATGAGCACAGTAGTAATCTGAGGCTAGGAATACAGAGCAAGTGCAACTGAACACGTGGCTACAGAGCTGGTGTAGGAGGGTATGTGGATTATTGGGATACCTTCTGTAGAAGGTGGGACCTGTACAAGAAGGACGGGTTGCACCTGAACTGGAGGGGCACCAATATCCTGGGTGGGAAATTTGCTAAAGCTCTTTGGGAGGGTTTAAACTAGTTTGGCAGGGGGATGGGAACCAGAGCTATGGATCAGAGGATGGGGTAGCTTGTATACAAGCAGATACGGCATGCAGAGAGTCTGTGAGGAAGGATAGACAGTTGGTAGGGCAAAGTTGCAGTCAGTGTGACGGGTTGAAGTGTGTCTATTTTAATGCAAGAAGCATCAGGAATAAGGGTGATGAACTTAAAGCATGGATCAGTACTTGGAGCTACAATGTTGTGGCCATTATGGAGACTTGGATAACACAGGGGCAGGAATGATTGTTGGATGTTCCGGGGTTTAGATGTTTCAAAAGAAATAGGGAGGGAGGTAAAAGAGTGGGGGAGTGGCATTGCTAATCAGGGATGGTATCACAGCTGCAGAAAGTGAGGTCGTCGAGGAGGGTTTGTCTATTGAATCAGTATGGGTGGAAGTCAGAAACAGGAAAGGAGCAGTCAGTTTATTGGGAGTTTTCTATAGACCCCCCCAATAGCAACAGAGACACTGAAGAACAGATCGGGAGGCAGATTTTGGAAAGGTGCCGAAGTAATAGGGTTGTTGTCATGGGTGACTTCAATTCCCTAATATCGCTTGGAACCTCCAAAGTGCAAATAGTTTGGATGGAACAGATTTTGTCAGGTGTGTCCAGGAAGGATTTCTGACTCAATATGTAGACAGGCCAACTAGAGGGGAGGCCATATTGGATTTGGTGCTTCGCAACGAACCAGGCCGGGTGTCAGATCTCTCGGTGGGAGTGCATTTCAGTGATAGTGATCATAACTCCCTGACCTTTACATTGTCATGGAGAGGGATGGGAGCAGACAGTATGGGAAAGTATTTAATTGGGGGGCGGGGGGGGAGGGGGAATTACAATGCTATTAGGCAGGAACTGCAGAGCATAAATTGGAAACAGATGTTCTCAGGGAAATGCACAACAGAAATGTGGAGGTTGTTTAGGGAGCACTTGCTGTGAGTGCTGGATAGGTTTGTCCCACTGAGGCAAGGAAAGAATGGTAAGGTGAAGGAACCTTGGATGACAAGACATGTGGAACATCTAGTCAAGAGGAAGAAGGAAGCTTACTTAAGGTTGAGGAAACAAGGATCAGGCAGGGCTCTAGAGGGTTACAAGGTAGCCAGGAAGGAACTGAAGAATGGACTTAGGAGAGCTAGAAGCCTTGGTGGGGGTAGGATCAAGAAAAACCCCAAGAAGTTCTATACTTATGTGAGGAACAAGAGGATGGCCAGAGTGAGGGTAGGGCCGATCAGGGATAGTGGAGGGAACTTGTGCCTGGAGTCGGAGAAGGTAGCAGAGGTCCTTAATGAATAGAGACAGTAGGATTTTCTGAAGAAGGGTCCAGACCCGAAACGTCAGCTTTCCTGCTCCTCTGCTGCTTGGCCTGCTGTGTTCATCCAGCTCTACACCTTGTTATCCTTAATTAATACTTTGCTTCAGTATTCACCAGAGAGAGGGACCTTGTAGTTTGTGAGGACAGCGTGAAACAGGCTGATATGCTCAAACAGGTTGATGTTAGGAAGGAGGATGTGCTAGAAATTTTGAAAAACATGAGGATAGATAAGTCCCCTGGGCCAGATGGGATATACCCAAGGTTGCTACGGGAAGCGAGAGAAGAGATTGCAGCCCCCTTGGCGATGATCTTTACATCCCCACTGTCTACTGGAGTAGTACCAGAAAATTGGAGGTTGGCAAATGTTATTCCCTTGTTCAAGAAAGGGAATAAGGATAATCCTAGAAATTACAGACCAGTCAGTCTTATTTCTGTGGTGGGCAAGTTATTGGAGAGAATTCTGAGAGATACTATTTATGTTTATTTGGAAAAGCACAATTTGATTAGAAATAGTCAGCATGGCTTTGTGAGGGGCAGGTCATGCCTCACAAACCTTATCGAATTCTTTGAGGATGTGACAAAACATATTGATGAAGGTAGAGCAGTGGATATGGTGTATGTGGATTTTAGCAAGGCATTTGATAAGGTTCCCCATGGTAGGCTCATTCAGAAAGTAAGGAGGCATGGGATTCAGGGAAATTTGGCTGTCTGGATACAGAATTGGCAGTCCAATAGAAGACAGAGGGTGGTAGTAGATGGAAAGTATTCAGTCTGGAGCTCGGTGACCAGTGGTGTCCTGCAGGGATCTGTTCTGGGATCTCTGCTCTTCATGATCTTTATAAATGACTTGGATGAGGAAGTGGAAGGGTGGGTTAGTAAGTTGCCGATGACACGAAGGTTGGTGGAGTTGTGGAGAGCTGTTGTAGGTCGCAACGGGACATTGACAGGATGCAGAGCTGGGCAAAGAAGTGGCAGATGGAATTCAACCCGGAAAAGTGTGAAGTCATTCATTTTGGAAGGTCAAATTTGAATGCAGAATACAAGGTTAATGGCAGGATCCTTGGCAGTGTGAAGGAACAGAGGGATCTTGGGGTCCACGTCCATAGATCCCTCAAAGTTGCCACCCAAGTTGATAGGGTTATTAAGAAGGCGTATGGTGTGTTGGCTTTCATTGGCAGGGGGATTGAGTTTAACAGCCACAAGATTATGCTGCAGCTCTATAAATCCCTGGTTAGACCACACTTGGAATATTGTGTTCAGTTCTGGTCGCCTCATTATAGGAAGGATGTGCAAGCTTTGGAGAGGGTGCAGAGGAGATTTGTGGACTGGAGGGCAGGTCTTATGAGGAAAGGTTGTGGGAGCTAGGGCTTTTCTCACTGGAGTGAAGAAAGAAGAGAGGTGACTTGATAGAGGTGTACAAGCTGGTGAGAGGCATAGATAGAGTGGAAAGCCAGAGACTTTTTCCCAGGGCGGAAATGACTATTACGAGGGGGCATAATTTTAAAGTGATTGGAGGAAGGTGTAGGGGAGATGTCAGAGCTAGGCTCTTTACACAGAGAGTGGTGGGTGCATGGAATGCACTGCCAGCAGTGGTAGTCAGATACATTAGGGACATTTAAGTGACTCTTGGACAGGCACATGGATGATAGTAAAATGAAGGGTATGCAGGTTAGTTTGATCTTAGAGTAGGGTAACAGGTCGGCTCAACATCATGGGCTGAAGAGCCTGCACTGTTCTATATTCTACTCTATTCCATCAAATAGTTAAGATGCCCAATATAGGTATATAATCTTCATTATTTAATCAATTTATTCCACCATTGTTGCTTTGCTAAATTAGGTACCACTACTAAAATTTCATAATACATATTAATTTTGTGATACTTCTTTGCTACTGATGCCTGGGTTAATGGAAAATTGTCTATCTTAAGAACATCTGTATTAATGATTTGGATGAGAATATAGAAGGCATGGTTAGAAAGTTTGCGGACGACACCAAAATTAGTGGCATAGTAGACAGTGCAGAAGGGTCTCTAAGATTGCAAAGGGATCTTGATGAAATGGGCCAATGGGCTGAAAAATAACAGATGGAGTTCCATCTGGTTAAATGCAAGGTATTGTATTTTGGTTCAACAAACAAGAGTAGGGCTTATACAATTAATGGTAGGGCCTTTGGGTAATGTAGAACAAAGGGACCTAGGGGTTTAGGTAAATCATTCTTTTAAGTTTGCGTCACACATATACAGGGTGGTTAAAAAGGTGTTTGGCACACTTGCCTATATTGCTCAGTTCTTTGAGTCTAGGAGTTGGGAAGTCATGTTGTACATGGAGGTTGTACAGGACATTGGTGAGAACTCTTCTGGCCTACAGTTCTGGTTGCACAGTTATAAGAAGGATTTTATTAAGCTGGAGAGGGGTCAGAGGAGATTTACCAGGATGTTGCTGGGTATGGAAGGTTTGAGTAATAAAGAAAGGCTAGATAGGCGGGGACTTTCTTCACTGGAGGGTAGGAGGTTGAGAAGCGACTTTAAAGAAGTTTATAAAATAATGAGGGGTATAGATAGAGTTAACAGGAAGTGTAAAATCATTTGGCACCAATCATGCAGCAGAATAGCCCTTGCCAAATTACTCCACGTTTCTCCAAACTAGATTCAAATTGGATCCACTCTTGTGACACTAACAGTTTTAATTCAGTGCTAATTTAGTCAGTTTCTACCACATAGTATCAAAATTGAATTAACATTAAGTGCAGGCCAAACTGAGGGAGAAATAGGGAGAATGAATAGAAAGAAAGACATACATTGTATTGCATCTTCCATGATCTAAAGATGATCCAAAATGCTTTACAACCCCAAAATAATCAAGAATGCAGCTCACCATCTCTTTCTCAAGGGCAATTAGAGGATGAGCAATAAATGTTGGCCCAGCCAGCAACACCCGCATCTCATGAACAAATATAAAAAAATACTTATTTAAACATTATTATTGCAGTGCAAGGATGGGAGATCTTACCTAATACAACGTGTAGATTAGCTTTTACTTTTTCAATAAAGTAATTATATAATGACAGTGGAGTGGCCTCAATTCTCTTTCCATCAGTCCTGGCAACACTTTGCATCTTTTCAAGGAGTTCAGCTTTCTCATCTGCCGGGAAGATATTGGGTACATCTCCTGTGTTCAACAACATGTTGATGTCTTCCACAAATGACTCATCTTTAATTTGACTATCACTAAACATAAAGACAGTCTGTTTGCCATCAACTCCAGTCTTGATCATTATCCGTTTAATATCATCTCTCCATTCACTTTTGCCATAGTTCTTTGTGATTTCAATTTGGAAGAAGTTGAACTCATTCATGAAAGTGGACAGTTTTGTAGCACTCTGTCTGCCACTCCCACCAACACCAACTAGAAGCAAGTGGCCGTTGTCCTGTTTTAGCACTCTGCATATTCTCGAGATGTGCTCAATGGCAAACCTGAACATGACCAGAGCCATTGGAGCTTTACTGACATTGTTATATTCTGATAGATAATATTCCATCACTGATGTAAGTTGTTTTAAGTCTACAATCTCATCATAAGCCTTTACACTAGAATCTGGCTTTAGAAAATCTCCGAAAAATAGACTGCGAATATTGTCATCGGTAACCTTTCCCGATGGAGTCAAATGGCTCAAAACCTACACAAATAGGTGGAAACAGATGGTTAGAGATTTGGTTGTGCGTGTTTAATTAATAAAGCACAGACAAGTTAGCTTATTTCAGTACTAAAACAAGCATCTTCATTATTCACAAAGCAAAGAGAAAGCATAATACCAAACTATTCCTGCCCCATCAAGGAACCATTGCTGGAAATGCATACACATGAATGTTAAACGAAAGCATTTTTCGCCTTCGTTGTAAGAGATTCTCCAGATAAATGACTTCACTCATTATTTTAGCTGAGTGGCATACCTGTGGTCTCAAACTGCTGAGAAAAAGAGAAACTGGAGGACAAGAAACAAACACAAAACCTGAAATTATGTATTCATGATACATTCATTTGAAATTCCTCTTGGACATGTTCAATGTAGGCAACATATCCATCCGATGTCAGCAACTCCACTGGAATTATGCAGAATGATTAGGTGATTGTTTTAATCATTTCTAGAGTAGTGTACCACAGCTTAATTTCAAAGCTATGTTTTAAATAGTAATGCAGTAAATGATAGGTCGATCATTCATTTGACAAAAATCACTGAAGAAGTGAAACAACTTTGGAAGAATTAGCTAAAATCTTGGAGACTTGCTGCATTCTTTTGGGAGTTGGTGATGTAGTGTCACAGGACTGATAATCCAGAACCCAAGCTATTGTTCTGGGAATGTGGATTCAAATCCCACAACAGCAAATGGTGAAATGTGTATTCAATAAAAAAAGCCTGGAATTTAAAGGTGGTTTAATGGTCACCGTGTGACCACTGTTGATTGTTGCAACAAGTCCGTCTCTGCAAAAATGTCTCATAGGAAAGAAAGCTGCTCCCTTATCTGGTCTGACCTATATGTAACTCCAAACACACAGCAATGTGGTTGACTCTTAACTGTCCTCCGAAATAGTTTAGCAATTCTAGAGCAATTAGGGATGGCCAATAAATGCTAGCCTAGCCTGTGGCATGGACATCCTCCATGAATGAATAAAACAAAAAGTATCCATTATGTTCTTTCCTTTATGTAGACATTGGGTTTGATGATAACATGGATAAGCCTTAGAGGTAAGCTGTGAAATGACTGTGACCTCTGTAAGTCATGTTCATGTTCTCTAAGACATTGGAGTCCGTACAGCTTGGAGCAGGTCTCTTACCATCTTTTACCATCATTGATATACAGAGGGATCTTAGGACAAGTTCATAGCTCCCTGAAAGTGGCAACACTAGTGGATAAGGTAGTAAAGAAGGCGTACAGCATGCTTACCTTCATCATAGAGTCATGCAGTCATAGAGTCATAGAGTCCTACAGCACAGAGACAGTCCCTTTGGCCCAAACTGGTCTGTGCCAACCAAAAAATATCCATCCACGCTAACCCTATTTCCCTCACTTGGCCCATATCCTTCTAAATGTTTCCTATCATGCATTTACACAAACGCCTTTTAAATGTTGTTAATGTACCCACCTCAACCACTTCCACTTGTTGGGCCAAAGGGCCTGTTTCCACACTGTAAGATTCTATGAAAGAAAATAACCAGTTAAACAGCCACTCTGCCTCGCCCTACCAACTGGTATTTTTCATTTGTTCATAGGGGCCTGTTTTCACATTGTAGGATTCTATGAACAAACAGCTCCCATTCCTGGATGTCGTGGTAGAGCACAGGACAAATGGGGAATTCCTAACAAAGGTACACAGGAAAACCACAAACACTGACCAAGTACATAACTTCAACAGCAACCACCCAAACACACACAAACGAAGTTGCATGAGAACATTATTTAAATGGGCAACAACACACTGCAGCAGCTCAGAACTACACCGAGATGAAGAAGAGTATCTCTTCCAGGTATTCAAAGACAATGGATATCCAAAAACTGGGTCAGAAGATGCCTATTACACGAATGACACCAGGAAGATACTACACGGCCCGAAACACTCACCACGCTACCTTACATCAAGAACATATCTGAACTGACCACAAGACTCCTATGACTACTAGACATCAGAGTAGCACACAAACCCACATCAACCCTACAACAACTGCTCACCCGAACCGAAGACCCACTACCCACTATGGACAGGACCAATGTCATATACAAGATTCCCTGCAGAGACTGTGACAAACACTACATCGGACAAACAGGAAGGAAATTAACAACAAGGGTACACGAACATCAATTGGCTACAAAAAGACACAACCAATACTCACTCATCTCTATCCACATGGATAAGGAGAACCACCAATTCGACTGGGACAACACCAAGACCCTGGGACAAGCAAAGCTGAGACAAGCACGGGAATTCCTAGAAGCCTGGTACTCCACAAAGAAAGCCATCAATAAACACATAGAGCTCGACCCCATATACACTCCACTGCGAATGAAAACGGAAGTGAGGTAATTCAGCTCAACGGACTCCAGAGTTTAAATAACAGGTGGGAAAACACAACGGCGCTTCATCGGAGGCTGCACTGATGATGTTACCTGGCAGGGTAATGAAACGTCTGCGGAAAAACAACGAACCAGCTCGGCGAGCCAACCAACCACAACATCCACAACCCGAGCTACAAATCTACTCTAAAACCTTAGAGCTAACCAAATTACATCTGGAACACAGAACCTTACATTTGCCTTTAAATAAGAAAAAATTAAGCGTTTAGGCTGTCTCCTTGGTGCATTTCAAGGGGGTTTGGTCTGGTCCATAACAAAAGGCAGAGCATCAACACTTGCAGCACATACTACCAATTAACATTTTGGTGAGGGACAGAAAACTGGAAGGAAAAGTGTCAGACAGAATGGTGTCTAACGATGGGAGCCCTTGGTTCTCCTCAGAGTTCACAAAATTCATTCACTGACAAAAGTGGGGAAATGACCATCTGCTAGACTTTTCTCAATGGTATTCTAAAGGTGGCCTCCAGGAACTTGAGTTATTCCAATGGCAAAGCCAAAATTAGGAAATAAATAGGAGAGACATACTTTAATGGGTGCGTTTAAAAACACTGATTTCCTCAAAGCGGCAGGTAGTTCTGTGTAGCTTGGTCAGCATTCTTCACTGATATGATTGTGGAGTGGTGCACAGGCCATTCAGGCAGTGATGCCTAGCCCCAAAGAACCAACATAATTTGCAGAGTATCAGCTGAAAACTACACAGCTTAATTTCTCCCTCATCACATAGGGTTGCACAGGGCACTGGTGAGGCTACATCAGAAGTACTCTGTACTATATTGGCCACTTTATTTGAAGAAAGATGCTAACAAATTATGAGCAGCTCAAAGAAGGTTTATCAGACAAATATCTCCAATGGGTGGGTTGCCCAACGGAGAAGCTAGATTTGTATCCACTGGAGTTAAGAAGAATAAGAGGTGACTTGATTGAAAATTATAAGATCCTAAGACGACTTGACTAGATGGATGTGGAGAGGATGGCTCCTCAGGTGGAAGAATCTAGAACTACAGGTCGTGCTTAAAACATATGAGGTCATCCATTTGAAACAGTGAAGAGGTGATTTTTTTTTTCTCTGTAGAGGATTCTGAGAGATTGGAACACTTTTCCTCAAAAGGTAGTGGAAGCAGAGTCTTTGAATATTTTTAAAACAGAGGTTGATAGATATTTGATAAGTGAGAGTAGGGTAGGAGATTAAAATCAGATCAGCCATGGCCTAATTGAATGGTGGATCGGGCTCGAGGGGCCAATTGACCTACTGTTGCATTTTTTATACATTCATGGGATGTGGGCATCACTGTCCAGGCCAGCATTTATTGTCCATCCCTAATTGCCCAGAGGCAATTAAGAGTCAACCACATTGCTGTGGGTCTGGAGTCACATATAGGCCAGACCGGGTAAACATGGCAGTTTCCTTCCCTAAAGGACATTCATGAACCAGATAGTTTTTCCTGAAAATCATTTCATAATCATCATTAGACCCCTAATTCCAGCTATTTGTTGAATTCAAATTCCACCATCTGCCATGGCAGGATTTGAACCCAGGTCCCCAGAACATTACCTAGGTCTCTGGATTAATAGTGAAGCAATAATTCCACTAGGCCATCACCTTCCTTTCTGTTGCATGACATAAGATGCTAGGCACTGGATTATCTATCAATACAATGCAGTGAACCAAATAAATCAGAGTGATTTGGCAGATGGTACAACAGTTTGCTAAGCCACACATGCAAAGTGCAATTATGAAATCAAGGGGATAGGGAATGGGTGGGAACTTGTGGTATAAAACTCTTATTCTTTGTGCAATATTATAAGTATTACCAAGGAATTTCAAACATGAAAAAAACAAGAGAAGAAACACCAGAAATTACCTTATCAACACTCTGTTTGAAGAAATTTGAGGTGGTTTGTTTGATTATTTGGAAAAATGTCTGTCTATCATCGTCTGCAATCAATCTGTCATAAAAAACCCTGTAAACTTCGTGAATCCAGAGACGAATCAATTTATCTCCCTCCTGGGAAAGGAATCATACACGGCACATCACTAAAACACTTCACACAAAAACAGCTGAGCATGAGCTTCAAGATTGAAGAACAACACTATTGGAGATAAGTCCTGCTACAATTTGCAATACTTACCATTTTTTAATATTCATTCATGGGATGTGGCTGGTGCCAGCTGGGCCAGCGTTTATTTCCAATCCCTAATTGCCTTGGAGAAGATGTGCAGGTTAGGGTACATTAGCCATGCTAAATTGCCCATAGTGTCCAGAGATGTGCAGGCTGGGTGGATTAACCATGGGAAATACAGGATTGGGGTTGGGTCTGGGTGGGAGGCTGTTAAGGGGGTGCAGTGTGGACTCAATGGGGCAATTGGCCTGCTTCCACACTGTAGGGGTTGTGTGATTCTATATGATTCTAAGAAGGCGGTGGGCTGACTTCTCGAACGCCTGCACTTCTTGGATCATAGGTACACCCACAGTGTTGTTAGGGAGGAAATTCCAGGATTTTGACCCAGGGACACTGAAGGGACAGCGGTGTATTTCTGAGTCAGGATGGCAAGTGGCTTGGAGGGGAACTTGCAGGGGATGGTGTTCCCATGTATCTGCTGTTGTTGGCCTTTTGGGGCAGTATTTGTGGGTTTGGACAGTACTGTCCAAGCTGCTAGGGTGCCTCGCTGCACTTCATGCTATCTATCCTGCAGCTTTCCTGTTTGAGTGGTCCTGATGTTTGGAGAATTAACAATTGCTTTGTGAAGAATAAAAATTAATACTCTCAAAGGAGATAGCAGGAACTGCAGATGCTGGAGAATCTGAGATAACAAGGTGCAGAGCTGGATGAACACAGCAGGCCAAGCAGCATCAGAGGAGCAGGAAGGCTGACGTTTCGGGCTTAGGAGACCTGCTCTTCTGGCATCAGCTCTGAAGACTATGAGACACTTTAACAACTGTAAGCTATTCTCTGTAGTTGGTACTTCAGCCTCTGAATTATGAGGCCATGAATTCAAGACCCACTCTAAGCTTTACAGAGCACAAAACTCAAGGCTGGCACTGTGCAGGACAGAGGAGCTCCTCACTGTCAGAGGGGTTGCCCTTCAGATGAGACATTCGACTCACCTGCCTATGGGGTGGAGGTAGGTCTCATGGGATGATGTTAAAGAAGAACAGGGGAGTTATGCACAGTGTTCTGGCCCTCAATCCCTCAATCAAGTCATAAAAACAGATGAGCTGGCTGGCATGGTGGCTCGGTGGTTAGCACTGCTGCCTCACAGCGCCAGGGACCTGGGTTTGATTCCATCCTCGGATGACTGTCTGTGTGGAGTTTGCACATTCGCCCCGTGTCGGTATGGATTTTGTCCGGGTGCTCCGGTTTCCTCCCACAGTCTAAAGACGTGCAGGTTAGGTGGGTTAGCCATGGGAAGTGCAGGGTTACACGTTTTGGGGGGGGGGGGGGGTGGGGCTGGGGGGGGGGCTCTTCAAAGAGACGGTGTAAACTCAATGGGCTGAATGGCCTGTTTCCACACTGTAGGGGTTCTATAGTGATTAATGCATGGTTTTTGTGGGAGCTTGCTGTGCCATAATTGGCTGTAAAGTGCCTTTGAGATATCCAGTGGACATGTAAAGCATTATATAAATACAAATCTTTCTTTGGTAGTTCAGTTGAACAAAATCAGAAGTCACACAGCACCAGGTTATAGTCCAACAGGTTTATTTAAAATCACAAGTTTTCCGAGCACTTCTCCTTCTTCAGGTGAATTCACTTGATGAAGAAGCAGCGCTCAAAAAGCTTGTGATCTTAAATAAACCTGTTGGACTATAACCTGGTGTCATGTGACTTCTGACTTTGTCCAACCCAGTCCAACACCAGCATCTCCACATCATAGCTCAGTTGGAAGCAATATCTTTGAGTCTTTGCTCTGTCTGTCTATGTAGGAAAACCTGTCCCAGGCTGTGCTAAACACAAGGCCTACATTACAAAGCAATTACCTGTGACTGTTCCTGAGAGGCCCCCATGATTGTCAGAATCGTTCATTCTACCTGCAAGCCTCGGTTTTGGTTCACAACTCTTCAATTAATTCTACCAAGGCCAAAGCCTCTCGAGCTGTGCTTCCCGAAGTGGGATCAGCACTCATAGCGGTATCACATAGCTGAGGTCCTGAATGCGGAGGCAGCAATGGCCTGAGTTATAGCAGCAGTGCTCCCACTCTAACAGGCCCCCTATTCCACACCCACAGTTGTCATTGAAAGATAGCAACAATTTTCAAGGTCGATAATGGGCCATAGTGAGCAAAGGTTTGGGAGGCACTGTACTTGCACATGAAGCAGTGGTATACATGAGAAACGATATGTATTGTATGTAAGATGCAATGTATTTTGTATGTTGGTACTACAACCTGTAATTAAGGAGCACTCCTCTCAAAAAAAAACTAGTGCTGTACTTCAATTTTTAAAAATTCTTTCATGGGATGTGGGCATTTCATGCCCATCCCTCATGGCTATGGAACTTGACAGCGTGCTCAGCCATTTCAGAGGGCAGTAAAGAGTCAACCACATGGCTGTATGTCTGGAGTCACAAGTAGGCCACCAGCTAAGTGTGGCAGAATTCCCTCCCTAAAGGGTAATAGGAAACATCAAAAATAGGAGCAGGAGAAGGCCATTCAGCCCTTCAAGCATGCTCCTCCATTCAATATGATCATGGCTGATCATCCAATTTAGTCACCTATTCCCACTTTCTCCCCATAATCTGTGATCCCTTCAGCCCTAGGAACTATATCTAACTCCTTCTTGAAAACATTCAAGGTTTCAGCCTCAACTGTTTTCTGTGGCATGAATTCCACAGGCTCCCCACTCTCTGGGTGAACACATTTCTCCTCATCTCAGTCCGAAACGGCCAACCCTGTATGCTTAGACTATGACCCAGATAGTGAACCCGTTGGGTTTTTACACCTATTGATGGTAGTCGCCATGATCAATTTTAACTGAGATTCACTTCATATTCAAGATTTATCAACTCAATCAGCAGCCATGATGGGGTTTGACTGCACGTACCCTGTGATATAGCCTCTCAATAACATCTCGGTTACTAATCCAGTGGCATTGTCTTCATGCATAGTTTTATGAGCAAATTTAATTGTAATTCTGTAGATGGTTCATGTATATTTGCAAACAATCTGATCTATTTTTAGTTCACTAATAGATTTGATTGCTTTATACAACTTCTTTCCCATGTCCTGTTTAACTGTTACAACGTGTATGGGTTTGAATGGACTGTAAGAAGGTTTGCTTACTCACCTTCAGATGGGTATTCGGACACAACAGCACTCCTTTAATCACGCGAGAGAAATCTCGCAGATTGAACACATAATGAGATTTGGAAGGGGTTGGAAGAAAATTGTCCACTGCAGCTTTATAAACTGCCATGGTAGCTTGTACCATCATCTTACCCAACCTGAAATAAAGAAGAGTTTGACAGTTTTACCCAAAATTCCTGTTTCCAGTTAGTGTCAACAAGCACAGCTATCCTCCTGAGAGTAAATGACACTATGCAGCATGCCCCCACTTCCCCACTCCTGGGGCAAATCACACTCTTCACCGCATCCCACATCTCCCCACACACCAGGCCAGGGCATATCACAATGTGTACCACCCCCTCAACATTCTCTCCCCACCTGTGAGGCAAATCACACTGGCCCAGCTTTCTACAGGAGCAATTCACCTCGATTCAATTCTTCCACCTTTTCCTCATAGTCCTGTAAATCTCTCCTCTTCAGGTAATCATCCAATGGTCTTTAGAAAACCACATGAGGAATCTCAGACAGTACATTCCAGACTCTAATCACTCGAGTGAACCTTCCCGCCCCACACTCTCGGACAATACTTTCCAGACCCTAACCCCTCAAGTGAACCTGCCACCCCCACACTCTCAGACAGTCCATTCCAGACCCTAAACCCTATACATAATTGGTGGATGTTGCAGCTAATCGATATTGGGTGTCATACAGCATGGCAGCTCAGGGCCTTTGGACGGATTTGAGTGAAGTTCGAGAATGTGAGGAGTTAATGTCTGAAGTCTACATGTAGAAACTGAAGACCCTCCCACCCAGCCATTTGATTCTGTTTCATTGAAATTTGTTGACCCCTACCGTAGAAAGGTGTTTTCAAATCCTTTCGCAAAGTGCCAATCAGAAATGGAAGTGAAAATCTTCATCATAGTATCATCATCAAATGAATCAATGGAGATGATATTGAGATGGCGAGTGAAACGGCCTGTAAGGTAAAGCAGAGAAGTGACTTCCAGAGAAAGTGGACAGTAACAACTTGGATTTTATGGCTTATGATACCCATCTGAGGTGTTTGTAGCTGTATTTAAACAAACACTGCTAAATTTACTACCTCATATTGGTCAAAAAACCCAACACCTATAAGTAGCACAGTGTCAACGTCCAGGTGATTTTCCCATAATTTTGCACCACTGACTCTGCAGTCCATTATTTTTCAGTATAATTACCACATTTCCAAATCCTTTTTTAACCATTTTCCCATTGAAAGGATTTCGTTATGAATTACTTTAAAATGAGCTGTTAAATTAAAACTGGCACCAAAAGCAGGTTGTAAATGACAATATATTTTTCACTCTTTGGAGAAGTAGAATGATGTGGGCATTGGATTGCTATAATTGGAAAACCAAGAGAGTTCTGCAATTTGAAATTCAAGTATTGCATATTGTTAAGCTGTGCAATACCATGTTGCTTTTTGACAGCAGTAAGGAGGGGGGAATTCACTGAGAATCTTTCAAGTTAAGAAATGTTAAAAGGAAATATTAAAAAGCTGTGAGTGACAACAGCAGTACAGTGGAAGAAACATCCAGAGGCTGTAGACAGAAGTCTCTCTCTCTCTCCACCCCCCCACCCTGCCCTCCATGGGCAAAAGACAGAAAAATCAGGAAAATGCTTTGAAAAATTCTAAATCAACAGAAAACAACTGGTTCCACCTAATCCACCACTGAATTGAAGAATTGCTGTCACCTCACAGACAACAGCAGGTCATCCCTGCAAAAATCAAAAAGGACTGTGAGAAAATAACTTTCCACATTGTCCTCTGAACTTATGATCTTCAGAATTTTGTTTCCACTGTCTACATTTTTATTCCAGCCACAGTCCCTGTGTTAAACAGTTTGTCTCTAGTCTCTCTTAAAAGTGATTGACTGCATGTTTGGGGTTTTAAAGAAGTACAGTTTAAGTTAAGTAAATTAGGAATCTTCTTTTCAATGGCCTTGTTAAAGTTGAGTATGCCACAATAAATAGTTATTATTACAGTTACTTAGGAAAACTGGGGTGACTTGCTTTTGTCCTGAGTAGCAGTCAGTCTGGCAAATTGGTCATTTTGGTGGTCTCACTGGGATTTTGCACATTTATATAGCTTGCAACAGGTTGTGGAACAATGGAACACGATTATTGAGGCAAAAACTCTTCCCAGTTTAATCATGACAAAGACAAAATGCAAAGCACACCAGAGCTGATAGGCATATTGGAATTCAGGCACAGTCTCTTCAGCCACCATTCTGCATGCAATGAGTAGCTCTCACATTCGTTGTTGTTATAGTAATCCTATACGTTTGTTCCCTGTGGGATTAACCTCAAGTGAATTGCACTCCCAGTGTTACACAGTTTTGCCTGAAAAATGACTCTGGCTTGTCAGAACATGACACAATTACATAGACAGGGAAGCAGCAGAAACCTGTTGCTAAGGTGAGAAAAAGGCAAAAGGCTGAAGTAAATCGACACTGCTTCGGATGCAGAAGTTTTCAAATTACTCTTAACAATAAGAGAAGCCTCATGACATTTTTTGTACCGTTATGCAAAAACATAATTTATACCCATTGGGACTAACCGACTTGAATTGTAACTGTGACTCTATACGAATCACCCTAAATGAAATTTACAGTTTACATTTCTATTTAAACCTCCATTATCTAATATTTGCTCAAAACACCTTTAGAAAGACTGAATAAATTTGTGCTTAGGACACACTTGGGCTGGAAAATTTCTGAGGTACAGCGTCCTATCATGTAGGGTGGGCTGGTGGAGAATTAAGTCCCCTCTCCAGCCAACTCTCCTCATCTAAGTGTTAAATGGCATGGGGCTGCTGACATTGGCCGGGGTGCTCTCACTACCAACTTTCCCAATGGTGGGAATGGGCCACATTACCAGCAAACTCCAGCCCCAGGTTACGTTATTCCATAACAGTATGGAACAGGTGGAGTCAACTTGGGTAAAGGTTAAGATGCCTGGTCTGTCAAGATGAATAAACAGCCTCATTGACCCTGATATATAACAGACTATGATTCCCAAAAACCCTTTACATCTACTGTTCACTCACTGTCAACTGTGGATGAAAAGAAAGGAAAATATATCTCTAGATTGTACCCCAAGGTGAGGCCAAGAGGCACCTTTTGTTGGCCTCTTCAACCTGACTTAACTTGGCATCTGCTCAGGGTGACTGACAAATTTTTATAAGATCATTCCTTGAAATCTCCAATTGTCCCATGCCCTGTATGTTTTTATCATCCCCAGAATGTCATTTGTTCCATGTTTGTAAGGCTGGGACTCCGCCCACTTTCTGCTTACAAAGGTAAGATTGCAAATTGTGTCTGAATTCGAAACAACTCAGGTATGTTTCCATTTGCCACCATCAAACAAACAGGCAGCAGATCAGGACAAGTTATACACAGAACAGTTACTCCAATAATTTATATTTGGATTCCAGACATAAGGCTCCAGCTGAACTCAAAAAAACCCATGATGAAATTCAGACACACTTTTAAAAATATTATCCCAGTTAGCAATGATTGAATCTTGTAATTATGAAGCTAAGGAGCTACATAAACTGGCTAATGCTGCAATGCATATAAAACCAACAATAACGTGCCACAATTCTCCAACACTCCAACACTGCAAAATTCCTACCTGTTATGTCATTCCTCCCTCCACCAGGAGGCCCCATTGCTGAAATAAACAGTACATTTATGATGGTCAGCTTTGACGTATCTTTCCGATCATACCAGTGACCATGATCTATCCACTGTCGAAGGAGCTCAATTGGTGGTTGGGCTCCATAGATTTCTTTTGCAGGCATATTCAGATCATCTAGAATTAACATATGAAATACCTGAGCTTTATAAAAGGAAAACAAAAACTCAGGCACCATCTCCCAGTATGATTTGTAATACTTGATTGAGTGAGCCAGGGTTAGGTCAGCATTGCCAACAATGCAACATTCCCTCACAGGTGAAGGCCTTAGTTTTACCAGACCATAGGGCTGCTCCCTCTTTAGGGAGAGGTGACTGGTGGTGGTTTAGAATCATGGAATTCCTACTGTGCAGATAAAGGCCATTAAGCCAATTGAGTCTGCACAGACCCTCAGAAGAACTTCCCACTCAGACCCACCCTATCCCTATAACCCACATTTACTATGGCAATCCACTTAACGTGCACATCTTTGGACTGTGGGAGGAAATTGGAGCACCCAGTGGAAACCCACGCAGGCACGGGGAGAATGTGCAAACTCCACCAACTGAGCTTACCAGCCGCTTACTCTGTCACAATGACGTAGTGTCAGCCCACAGTTTCACTCCATTTATGGAGCCGGACTTAGCCCATATGTTTCTAATTTGGGGGTGATAAAGTTCAACCAGCTGGTATCTAGGAGGGGCTGGTGGCATGGCGATGATGTCATTGGCTGATATTGAAGAGGTCCAAGGTAATATTCTCCTACTGTGGGCTCAAATCCCATTGCCACAGTAGTTTGTGGAAGTTAAATACAATTATCCAGATTTGCTCCAGATTTCGCTTCCACAACCATTGCCACAGTTCTGAGAGCTGAATCTCCCCTCACCAACACACAGATGTCTTTACCATCACTGTCACCATCCCACGGCTCCAACCACTGTTCTCCTGACCCTGACCTGGGTGGCTCAGTGGTTAACACTTGCTGCCTCACAGCGCCAGGGACCCAGGTTCGATTCAACCCTCAGGTGACTGTCCATGTGGAGTTTGCACATTCTCTCGATGTCTGCACGGGTTTCCCCTGGGTGCTCTGGTTTCTTCCCACAGTCCAATGGTGTGCAGGGTTATAGGGAAGGAGGGGGTTGGGTTTGTGTTGGATCTTCCCCAGAGGGTCAATGTGACAGGATGGGCTGAATGGCCTGCTTCCACACTGCAGGGATTCCATGATTCTACGACCTCTCCACCAAGCATACCACCCCACCATCCTGATCCCAGAACCCACTTTACTGGAAGATGCTGCTGAATGAACTATGATGGTGGCGAGATGCCTCTGAAACTGAGTCACCTTGCCTAGTCATTTCAATGATATTATTAATTTTATTTAAATAAATCTCTACATTCCATTGTTAAGTTGAAACATTGAATAGATTTTTGGTGAGGAAAGATCTTGATTACACCCAAACTAGCTGAAATTTCAATCACTCACCTACAAAGACAATGGATTCCTTTCCCACAGGTGGGCCATAAACACCTTTCCTCCTCCTGTCCAGTTTGGACATTATAATGTCTTGCGTTTGGTTGGCTGATGTTCTGGCGGAGAGGCTGATGCAGTTGGGAATGTAATGCTCTTTGGGCAAATGCATGAGGAAGTTGTTCGTGATGGCAGATTTACCTGTGCCAGTGGGTCCCAGCAACAGCAAAGGTACTTTGTGTGAGATATAAGTGTGTAAGAAAAAACTCTGCCTGGCAGTTTCCATGGTAGGAATAATAAGATCTGAAACCTGGAAATCCAGGGAAATTAAGAGAGTAAACATCAAAAATGTTACAACTGTAGATATTTCTCATTAACCAGTCAAGACACATTATGCTGAAGTGGAGTATTCTCAAAGGAAAATATAACAATGCTCAAAACCAGTTTGTGTCAATGGATTTTATCACAAATCATTGTATTATGTATCTGATGGAGCAGCTTTGATCTTATCAATCACTTAAGAATGCACAATGATACATATTCTGGAGTAGGCAGAACGTGAACTCAAGATTCCTGGCTGAGAGGCTGGGACACTACTATTGCACGTCAAAGTCCTTCATATCCCAGTTATACATATTTCCTAATCAACCTGTTCAGACATGTTATTACACACTTCTGGAACAGATGGGATGAAACCAGGCCTCCTTGCCCAGAGGTAGGGACACAACCACTGTGCCAGTAAAAACCCATGTTACAGTTATATTTTCCTTTTCTTATGTGCAAAAGTGCTCTTACACACAACTGAATGTTATTCTTCCATCGCCAAATCCATGTTACATCTGTATATGTTCTTATCAACCTATTCAGAGATGTAATTACACACTTCTGAAGCAGATGAGACTTGAACCCACGCCTCTCAGTCCAGTGGTAGGGACGCTACCACTGAGCCACAAGATGGTCCCTCATGTTAACCAGCATCCTTGAAGTTATTGCACCTGTTTTATATTAAACAAAAGGGGCGGGGGGAAGTCAAGAGTTCCTTGGTGTGCTCTCTAATGCAGTGCCTCAGCAAATCAAAATTGTTTTGCAAACCAATCAGCATGCAGTAAAAATCGTTGCTCCCTTTGAAATTTGGCACTCTTGCATCTGTCCTGATGAATGCAAAATTCAACTACATATCTCTTTCTTCAATACTCAGGTTCTTTATTACCAAGTGACTATTTATATCCTAATTACAGAAAGTTTCATAATGTTTGGATTAATTCATGTACTCAAATCCAATAAACCTTTTAATGATTATATCCTAGCATATTTACTATCTAGAATATGTTAAATAAAGGAGAATTGGGGATTTTATATGGTGATAATAACAATAATGATGGCCAAAGCTCACAAAGTTCTGACAACACATTGAGCTAGCTGGGCCAACCTTGCTTCATTTACAAGATCCCACAACAATTCCTTAAATGCTTTCAAATCAAGTTGTTCTACTTTATGGATTGTAAGGGATGAGTTCAATAAGGTTTCTCAAAAATTGAGGAAACAGGATCATCAATGATTGGTGGGATATGGGCCAAATGCAAGCAAATGGGAATAGTTTAGTTTGGGAAATCTGGTCAGCATGTACGAGTTGGACTGAAGGGTCTGTTTCCGTGCTGTACGACTGTATGACTGTGAAATGAGAAGGGTGGTGAATCTCTGCCCTTAAGGACGGTAGAATATATTCAGAACTAAGATTGAGAGATGTCTGGATGTGGAGATAGTGTGTGAAAATGCCGCTGAGGTAGAAGATCAGCCATGATCTAGTTAAATGATGGAATAGGCCCAAGGGGCTGAATGGCCTGCTGTTATTATCTACGTTTAACTATGGGAGTCAATATCAGCCATACTTTGGGCCTGTAAGAAATTTTTTATTAAAGTCAAAAGTCTTTTTCTTTAAAATTTGGATTACAAGTCTAAATTTGGTGCAAAAACAAACCAGGATAAGTTCTATTCCTTTGCTGCTTGGGTATAAAGAGTAGCGTCAGAATAAAGAAATTAATCTTGCAATTGTGGAGACCAATATTAAGTGTAATGCTGATCTCAGCCTAGAAAAAGATGGTAATTAAACACAGGCAGCTGACACGGAATGTCCCAGCTGGAAAAGGCAGGCTGACCTTGGCACCAGCAGGGATGTCTTGGTCTTTTGTGATGTAATCAGTCCACACTGTCCACTGACCACTACCTGTCTTTTTGAAATAATAATCGTAGACGCTTCCTATACAAAGACCAGGAAAAGAAAGCACATTAACCTTTCAGCCATGTTCTTAGAAATAGGATTCATGCATTTTATAAATTTCACATTCCAACCTCTCTCTGGGAATATATTGTTTTTTGTAAGTTTGACACTCTTTGGACGTGGGTTGTGGTCATCCATTCCCAAAATCAGATTACGGAAGAAAACATCAAACTTCTTGCGGCTTTCCCCGTTGATTGTGGCACCGATAGCCCACACGGTGGCAAAGAGGAATAGACCCTGCAGCCAGAGGGTGATTTGCTGGCTTGACATTTCTTCATTATCCTCTTTTCCTGACTGAGCTATTTCATCTGTAGGTTGGAAAAAGACAAACCAAGCATTAATGACACAGCTCGCCGTTGTCTTTCTTAGTATAGGGAGGATGAATATGTGAATGACGATGACATACATGAAGACGTAAGTCAAAAATCAAGAACCACTTGTTATTGAAACTCTTATTTTACAACATTACAAAATGTACTTTTCTATTTTCCTTTCCTTCTCCTTGCCCACAATATAAAAGTGAATGTAGTTTTTAACAAAACATAATGTAACACCATGTGTTAAAAAGTAGTCAGAAGGAAAACAATTTCCTCCCAAGTTTTAACAGTTTTAGGAACTTACACTTTCCTAACCAACTTGTTCACAGATGTTGTGACACACCTCTGGAGCAGGTAGGACTTAAACCTCAGTCCCCTGGCTCAGAGGTAGGGACACTACCACCACACCACAAGTGCCCTCAGCCTGAGGAATTTGTTATTCCTTCAGTGATTAATTAAATTAGTACCGAGTGATTGATCACTATGTTAATGGTATGCAATTAATATATTTCTGCCTATATTTCAAACACATTCCACTGCTCCAAAACATTAGCATTGCCAGAAAATTCATATTTCAGGCGACCTAGAAGTTTGTTTTTTTCCCGTATTCTTTCATGTGACAAGAGCATCACTTACAAGGTAAACATGACACTTAGGTAAGTACATAACAAGGAAAGGTTTAGAGGGATGTGGGCCAGGACCAGGCAGATGGGACGAGTTTAGTTTGGGATTGTGTTCAGCATGAACTGGTTGAACTGAAGGGTCTGTTTCCTGCTATATGACTCTATGACTCAAATGTGTTGCTCATCCCTAAGTGCCCTTAAATGCAGTGGCTATTATAGATGCCCAGCTAAGAGCCAAACACTTGAGGCTCTTGTGCGGGTGACCTCTAGGCCAGGAGGTCTGGGTTTGAGCCCTACCTGCTCCAGAGGTGTGCCTGAACAGTTTGATTAGAAAACCAGAGATGATTTTTGACAATTGCATTTAAGTTTTTGGCTGAATAGTTTAGAGAATAGGTGATAAATCCTCTTTAAAAAAATTTTAACCACTTTTCTGTGGAGTTAGACATAGGGCACATCGGGTGGGGACGGCAGATTCTCCTCCCTAAAAAGGATTAATGAACAAAATGGCTTTTTAATGATAGCTGGCATGTTCACTGATACCAATATCTAATGTTACATCCCAGATAATTTAATCCCACCGGCTGCCATGGTGGATTTGAACTCACGCCCCGCAGCATTAGCCCGGACCTCTTTATCCAGAGGCATTACCATTGCCCCACTAACAACCCTTTAACAGCAGCATAGAAAGATCCAGAATTCAATTTGAACACTCACCTATTAAACAAGAATAAAGCCTCATCATACAATAGGCCAGGTGCATTGGAGAAGTCTGCACAAAGAACTTGCAGTGCAGCCGGGTAAAATCCAAACAAGGCTGAATGAGCCAGTGGAACATGTCATTGATCTGAAAGCAAAGTATCCCAGTGATTTATCTGAATCATCTTTACATGAGAATTTCTAGAATCTTGAAAATAAATCCTCAAAGTTTTGTTTTTGCTTGTTCATGGCACAACAATGTCATCGGCTAGGCCAGCATTTATTGCCCATTCCTAATTGCCCAGAGTGCAGTTAAGAGTCAACCGCATTGCTGTGGGTCTGGAGTCACATGGCCAATAAATACTGACCACATCCCTTGAAAGCATAATTTAAAAAAAAATGGCAGAACAACAAGCAATTTGGAGCTCAGTGGTTGCCTAGACAACCAAAGTACAGGAACAGTGGGGCACAGACCAAGATCCAAGTGGGTATATCTCAACACTTCAGGGCCAGGAATTTGCCCATTTGAAATTCTGAATAGATTATGATCAAATTAGCATCAATACCAAATAAAATAGGTTTAGATGATGGGAACTGGACTCGAATGTTCTTGCGCTGTCAGTGATCACCAAATTTTAGGTATTTAATATGCAAATTTTGTAGAATCATAGAATGGTTGCAGCACAGAAAGAGGCTATTTGGCCCAACATGCATTTCCTCACTGTCTAAAGGAACAATTAACCTCATGCCATTCCCCTGACTTCTCCCAGTAGGCCTGCAATTTTCTTTCCTCCAGATAATTATGCAATCCCCTTTTGAAAGCCACAAGTCAATCTGCCTCCAACACACACTCAGCCAACACAGATCTTAACTACCTACTACATGAACAGGCTTTTCCTCAATTCACCAATGCTTCTTGTGCCAATCGCCTTAAATCTGTGCCCTCTGACTCTCGATCCTTCTACCAATGAGAACAGTTCCTCTCTATCTGCCTCTGTCCAAGTCCCTTCATGATTTTGAACACATCATTCAAATCTTCTCTAGGCCTTCTCATCAGTAAGAAAAGCAACTTCAGACTCTCTCAACTATCCACGTAACTGAAATTTCTCATTCCTGGAACCGTTCTCATCGATTTTTGCTGCGTCCTCTCGAAAGCCTTCACATCTATTTTAAAATGGAGTGCATACAGCTAAATACAATACTCCAGTTGAGGTTGAACCAATGTTTTATACAAGTTAAACAAAGCTTCCTTGCTTTTGAACTTTATGACCTTATTGATAAAGCCCAGGATCCCATATGCCTTACAAATCGCTCTCTCGACTAATCATGCCACCTTTAATGGTTTGTGCTTTTATACCTCCAGATTCCTCTGCTCCAGCAGGCCCTTTAGAATGCAAGCTTCTTTTTGTTGTCTCCCCTAGTTCATCCCACCAAAATGAATCATCTCACATTTATCTGCATTAAATTTCATCTGTCACCAGCCTGCTCATGTTCTTTTATTCTGTGTACCACTTATCCTCCTCACAGTTCACAATGTTTCCGAGTTTTATGTCATCCACTCACTTTGAAGTGGTGTCCTATACACTAAGATCTAGTTTGTTGACATATAGACCACATATACAGAATCTATAGGTTAATCGGTAGAATCACAGTAACGGAATTACAAATGTACACAAACAAGATTACAGCTGATTTCGCAAGAGGAGGGCAACCTTCGGTATTGAATTTTGTAACTGGACCTTGGTCTTAGATGTATCATGTGACTGTGTTGACCAATACTGAGACATTTAGGCCACCGTTAGGAGTTAGGCCACCAATCAGCCATGATCTCATTGAATGGCAGAACAGGTTCGAGGGGCTGAATGATCCATTCCTATTTCTGTGTTCTTATTTTGCAAAGAAGCAGAAAATTCAAACTGATACATGAGAAAAACTCACCATGTAAGAATGTCATACGACATGAAAGAGATTTCTGAGGTTCACAGTTGCCCACTTGATTCACATGGTGCTACTGTCAACAACTCTGAATAATAACTCTGGCAATTTCTAGTCACAGCTAACTCACAGCTTCCCAAAGTGGAGGTCGGGAATTTGAGTTGAAATTTTGAGGTAGTGAGCTCCAAGGCAACGTTGTTCCAACACCATCCCAGCTTGCTCTCCCAATCCCAGAGCCCACCGAGGGGTTATGGCTATTTTCACATCTCCAAAATGTGGACACTGTAGGAAAATGTTTGAGAAGCGCTGATTTCCAACAAAATATAAACATTTAAAAATACGGAGTTACCAGTTCTTTGTGCTCAGCGGTAACGGTGGCTGGCAGGGTATCCATGTAAGAATCTTTCAATGGTGTCCAGCCCAGCTGATGGGGTTCCAGGTAAATCATACCACATCTGGTCAAAGAGGAAATAAATTAACACTTGCCCACAGTGGCTGCATCCTGTGCCAATCACTGATGTTATGAACCAGACCAGACCCTCTTCAATATATTTTAAGAAGGTAGATTAGACCCTACTTTTTTCTTATTTTAAAGGTAGACGTGAAGTGCCATGTTCCAGATGCAATGCAACTGGTCAAACTACTTGACATTAAGCAAAACCCAATTTATTTAAACACTGTAGTTAAAATACAAAAGAAAGAGGAATTTAGAATAACAACTATTAGAAAACTTAACCGTACAATAGGTACAGTACCTATCACTAACAAATTGTTCCAATATAGTAACATTCCAGAAACAGTCCCATTAGCAAAAAGGCAAATTCATGGTCAGATTCTCACATGCAGTTCTCCAATCCAGGAGGAAAAAGCATCAAGAGAAACTTAGTTGCATTTCTTTTCAGAAAAACAAAGTGGGCGGCACAGTGGCTCAGTGGTTAGCACTGTTGCATCACAGCAGCAGGGACCCGGTTCAATTCCACCCTCAGGCGACTGTCTGTATGGAGTTTGCACATTCTCCCTGCGTCTGCGTGGGTTTCCTTCGGGTGCTCCGGTTTCCTCCCACAGTCCAAACATGTGCAGGTAAGGTGGATTGGCCATGCTAAATTGCCCGCAGTGTTCAGGGATGTGTAGCTTAGGTGGATTATAGGGGTATGGGTCTGGGTGGGATGCTCCAAGTGTCAGTGTGGACTTGGTAGGCCAAAGGGCTTGTTTCCACACTGTAGGGATCCTATGATTCTATGAGAAGTTTCAGAGAGTCTAGCAGCCAAGAGACTTTCACTGAAGCTTTCAACTCTTTTGAGATCCCAAATGCTTCTGCTTAAAACTAAACCTAAAAACTGAGAAAAAGAACTAGAAAATCTGGTCTGTGATAACATGCTCCACCCAGGCTGCTTCCATTGTTCCAACTTTTAAAAAAATCCCCACGGCCTCACAACTGGTTTACTTTCTCAGAGACAGCTTTGTACCTCTGCCTTACAACCTCTCTTCGAAAACGAAAGGACAAAATAACTAGTTAAAGTGACAGCTTCATCACATAATCTCTCAGTTGATCATTACCTGCTGACAGTCGCTGGGGAAGCCTGTTCCAAATCCGCTGGCTCAAATATTAAATTCATTTTAGAGCTCATCTGGATAATTTCACCACTCATCAAACACAACTAGAAGACAAATGACATGTAAACAATGGTGAGTGTCACACAGTGCGGGCAATATTACCCCATGGGTCTAAATAACAAAGACATCCCGCACTATTGACGAGCACGTCTTTCTACTGTTCTTCCAACTGGAAAATTAAACACAATCTTGACACTAATGCTTTACAACTATCAAAATTTCAAAAAAAAGAACTCAAACACTAAAACGTATTCTCCCATCATGTTGGATCATTCAATATTTCACTACAAGGAATTTAACCTGATCTGGGGTTTTGTCTAATGCTGTTGAGAAGCTGACTCGCAAGAGGTACGTAACATTATTTCACCCTTTGACTTTCCTGCCTTTTCTTTGAGGACGCTGCAGAACACTACTAAGGATAGTGACAAATAGTGCGTATGAAAATAGCAGCAATTTGATCACTACACCCCTATGTTTCCTGAATATAACAGAAATAACATCAAGATAGAAATATTTCAGGTAAATATGAAGTCACTGGCACTAATGATCCAATTCTTGTAGGATCCTGGTTAACTGAGTGTTTGTAGCAGACAACTAACCAGGTTCTGAAATCCCATTATGATTCACCCCCTTTCTGGCCAGAAGTTTGACAAAAGACCCAAGATCCCCAGGTTGTGGTGTTTTCTCAGGCAGTTCTGCCAGTGTCCTACTAAATTAGCAGCAGGAACCCAGAAAGTGGTGCACCAATGTCTTTAGGCAGCTACTGTGCTTCCGATTTACAGAAAAGAAAAATTGTCCACAATGTCTCATTTCAGAATGAGTTTTCCAACCCACTATTAAGAGAAGATCTGAGGGGCCCGAGTACATGGGACTAGCTGGGGAAGTTAGATTTTTATGTTTGCAGAACACTGGTAAAATCGCTTAACATCTTGGCTCTGCAACAGCTCACCAACATTACATCTTCCATTTCTCTCCTTAGGGAAGAATGTGCAAATATTTAAGTATCAAAATTAAAGGGCCTTATTATGTGTGAGATAACGACAGTTACAGACTGAGATTTTGGGTATTAAGTTGCACAAAATAGTAGCATCTCCACAGGTGCTGTGTTTCCCCGGCACTTACTGATTTTAAAAGAATACTTTCATTAAATAGTAACATGCATTGTGCTGAGCTGCTAGATGTTTAGCAAAGTAATACAGATGTGCCACTGAGAAAGCAACAAGCAAGTGAATTCAGTGTTTACAATTCGGATACTTTATCCCCTTAATTTAGAATGAAGAAATAAAGTCATTTTAGCACCATGAAGCAATCTCCTGAACAGCAGTTGGTCAAGTATAACTGATGAGCTATGTTGAACCATAAGTGCAATGTGGCAGTAGAGTAGCCGCTAGCTTAGGATAGGCTATACTTGTTCAAATAAAGAACTTCTATACGAGAACCCAAAACTATTGCAGTATCGTTTAGCTGTCTAAGGGAAGAGGTGTGGAGTAGATTGGTGAAAGCTCAAGTAAGAGAAAGTGTTTCTCTTGGATGCACATTCCATATTTTTTAAAAGTTAAAAGAAAAAGTTCAGGTGTGGTGCAGAGGTAATATCACTCCATTAGGAACCAGAAGGTCCAGCCTGGATTCAAATCCAGCTGACACAGTTTGAGTTCAATGATTAAATCTTGAGCTATAAAGCGCTATTCTCAGTAATGGTAACCATGACAACATAGGGTGGACAATCTGCACCTACATTTTATGGTCTTATTAACAATTGTCAATTGTTGCAAAACAAAAAATCATTCGCGAATGTCCTTTTCAGAAGGAAATCTGCTGGACCACACATGACTCCAGACCCACAGCAATACAGTTGACTCTTAGTCACCCTCTGAAATGAGTGAACCAGCACTTCCAGGTCAACTGGGGATGGGCATCAAAACTCGTCCTTGCCAGTGATGCCCACATCTGAAATAAAGTTGAAAAGCGATCTCCAGGTGCTCAGTAACTCATTGATTCTTAGGCACCCTTGGCTTTCTGAGGCAGGCAGATTTGTTGTTGGGTATTGTTTGTGTTTAGTGAAAATCAATGTCCATCAGGTTTCTAATAGAAGTCAATAACCAATGCAGCGCCCTGTACGCTCTTGCCAATGTGACAGTGCTGAAGTGACCCACATCCCATGAAAGAAAAAAGAAAAACACCAAACTAAAAAATTGCAGGCTTAAATGCCCAAGACATAATTGTGCAGAACAAGACTATAAAAAAGGGTTGCTAAAAGTGTTGTGAGAGGAATTACTACTAAAAATCAGTCAAACTATAATTGTGGAAGGTATAACATCTTCGGAAAAGATAAAGGGGAGGTGTAGTAGCTGCACTTATTAAAGGCTGATGTAAGGGCGATAGAAAAGAATAACAGGGTCAACAGTAAAACAGAAATAGAATCCATGTGAATTGAAATAAAAGAAAAAGTCAGAACTCTCATGACACCAGGTTATAGTCCAACAGATTTATTTGAAATCACAAGCTTTCAGAGAGCAGCTCCTTTGTCATACGCTCCAAAAGCTTGTGATAAACCTGTTGGATTATAACCTGGTGTTGTGTGACTTCTGACTTTGTCCAGCCCAGTCCAACACCGGCACCTCCACATCAAATATAAAAGACAATCAAGGATCAACCCACTGATAGCAGTAGTGTACAGACTACCCAATGGGGAAGAGAGGCAGAAAAAGGAATATCATTAAAATTAAGGAAATGAATAAAAGCAAAATTGAATAAGATTCATGGTGGTTTCAGCTGCCTAAAAATTAATTGGCTAGAAGAGAAAGATTAAGGTAATAAGTGAATGCAGTTCCCGCAATAAGTATGGGACTCCTTCCTAAGCCACTACACAAGAACCCACTAATGGGGGATTCAATTCTGGTTTGATTGATAATGAATGAATCAGGGCACCAAAGAGAAGTAAAAACAGATGAATATCTAGACAGAGATAGTAGGAACTGCCGATGCTGGAGAATCTGAGATAACAAGGTGTGGAGCTGGATGAACACAGCAGGCCAAGCAGCATCAGAGGAGCAGGAAGAAGGGTCTGAAGAAGGGTCCAGACCCGAAACATCAGCTTTCCTCCTCCTCTGATGCTACTTGGCCTGCTGTGTTCATCCAGATCTACACCTTGTTATCTCTGAATATCTAGACCATAGTGATAATTGCATACTAACATTTAAAACAGTAACTGAGAAGGAGATAAACATGTTAGAGTCCAGGAAATTCATTAGGGAAGGGCTGATTTTCCAGGGCTCAGAATGGAGCTTGAGAAAATAAAACAAACTGAAGTATTGACAACAAAGTGCTTCAGTACAGTACAGTCTGTGCAGTTCTGTGTGATTTCTTCCCAGATATCTCAAACTCTTCATAAACACATCCACCTACCTTCTTGTTATCATCTAACACTGTATTCATATTTTCAATCCAAACAGCATCAACAGGTCCATCAAATACAATCCACTTTCTCATGTTGGTGGCAGACGTTGCATGCGCACGGAAGGTTGTGGCGAGGATCCCATCTGTCCACTCATGGCTTACAGGATCAAAGCAACCATACAGCTGGCCCATGGTCACAGCCTTCGGGTTAATTATAGCATATTCTACAGCGTACTCATTCATCAGTTGACCTTAAAAATTAAACAAATGACACAAGTAAGAACACAACTGAAGTCATGGTTTGCATTTTTGTAATTCAGTACTGACAATGAAGAAGTGAATATATTTATGTATATGTTATATATATGTAAATAAGCCAACTCTCTCCATCTCGGTGGAAATGAAATTAATAACAGATCTATATTACCCTGCAAGACAATTTACATATAAACCTGAAAATAGTCTTTCTGGCACCTGACACAGATAGATCTGGCAGGCTTTGACTGAGTAGTTGGCAAATAAAGTGTTCAGGAGGAGCACTAAATATTGCAAGCAGAGTTATAGATGCAGCCCAATATGCAAACTAATCAGCCTGTCTCAGGCAGAAAGATTGCTCCCTGATTTACCTGCCAATCTAAAAACTGTAATTTGTTACACACACCACTGACAGAATTCAATTCACTATGACTTAAGACAGCGAATAACATTTGGTTCATTCAGTCGGCACAAGCATTTTTCTTCACCTAGTACTCTCTTACAAAACGTCACTGCCATCTCCTAGATTGTGCATAAGTGCCTTTACATCCCCTGATTTAAATCTGCTTGAGTCTATACAAATACCGAGCTGTTTGTGGAAACCACCCAGCCTTGAAATTGCTCCATAAACACTCAGTTAACAGCCTTTTCTGCCGCTATCATTCCTTTGAAGCCAGAATTAATTCTAATTCCCCACAACCCTGTGTCTTCCTCTGCCGTTAATACATATCTAATTTTTGTTTAAAAACACCTGCCTCTGCTTGAGCTGTGCCCTATTGAAAGGTACTCTCTGGTCCAATACCACTCAATGTAAGTAGCATTTTCCTTGCCTCTTACAAATGGCAACACTCAAACAGACACATTTGTCTGGATTTCTTCTTTCCATTATGTTAACAGAAGCTGTAGCCAATTTATTTTAATAGGTTTACAATTCCACAAAAACGACAGAGCAATTTGAACCAACACATTATGTAACAATTACAAGGCATTAAAGGAAATTCCGTTCCCAATCAGTAAGGCAAACAAGGAGTAACCTAACAATAATGTATCACCACAAAGTACAAGATTTGTATGTTATATGAGAATTGCTATCACATTATTGCAAATACATTGGTGCCATAATTAGTACCATATTCAATAATAGGAATACCATCAAATCTCAAAATTGATGTGACATAGAATACATTACCATCTGTAAAGGCCTTCTATACTTCCACATATCTATCCACCATCTTAACTAGCACGGATAGTAAATTCTCACTGTCAGTGAGGGCTGAGGAAACTAGGATCTTAAGAATGATACAGGTTTAGTGTCCAAATCCAGTACCCTCAGGACCGAGACCACAATGGATTTTGGAACGATTTTCTTCACACAGGCCATCTCTGCAACACTCTCCATTACTGATCTGAAGATCATTAAAAAAATGTAGACCATGAGACTGGGAATGTGTACATTTGACAGGTCCTCATGGGCCATTGTGGGCAAAAACGCTGAAGGTTTAAAAGTTTGATAGGGGAAATGTTTAAAAATCCATCAATCTTCCAGTGTATCAGAAAAAAAGCATTCATTTAGGCTGCATTACAGAGATGGAGAGAAGGACCTGGTTCTCTCACCTGGAAGTGCATGGAATGCCATAATTACAATGGGCCTGATGGTGGAACAGGTAGCTTTGTGTTGAGAGAGTTGGGGGAATCAAGCAATTAAAACCAATGCAATGGACACAGTTACTGAGTGTGTAAAATTCTTGCTGATACCCTCCTTTGGGACCTCAGAGTGGCATCGTCACTCCATTACTTACTCTGTTCCGGGAGCACTGTCCATGAAAAACTGCCCAGTTTTTGGACAATTTGGTTTTTGGATGGCTAAATATGAGACTGGCACTAAAATCCTGCACCTTTATTGTCACAACCTGACCCTGAGCATAGTTCTCCAACTTGTTGTAGTTCCATACAGGATATCCCAAATCGTTAAGATCCCAAGTGGAGAGGAATGAACTGACTCCCCTTATTTGTTTACCTGCCTCTTTGGCTGGTCACAACAAGGTGAAGAATAGATAGTGGAACATTGACAGTTGAGCAGTTGATTGAGATTTTTAACTATCCAGGTTAACTGAAATTCTTTTGTCTGTTTCTTTTTGAATTAGTTTCTGGCACCAAGAGCAACAGATTCCTTTACCTGCAATGGAGGACTGACTGGAGGATGTTCCTTGACTTTCACAGTGCATCCAGGTTGGGAGACATGAGCACCTCAGCCTACTAGCACGTGAGTTGAAAGTTGCTTTTAACCCCTGACCCTGACCCTGACCCTATGCATTCTTGGAAGGGAAAGAGGAAACATGCCCCTCACCCAGGCGGGTATCTTTTCTCCCACTATGGTCACAATCTGAGAAACTCACAGGAGATTACAGTTCAGTTTGTAGTTCATTTCTCCATTTGAAGCTTCTTTAACACAGTCAAGTCTGAATCCGAGGACCCCCATTCAAACAGCCACTGACTTTACATCCACAGTCATCTTTGGCTCCATTTCCTCTTTTTACAAAACACATGTTGCAATTAAAAGTATGTCCGAATGTGATCCAGGGTCATGAGCCATGGTCACGACATTATTGACAGTACTGGAGCACCTGTGATGATACCCATTCATGTCAAATGGTAGTTGAAAATCTTGAAAAGCTTAGGACTGCTTTGTTATCTTTTGGTCTCTGGCCTCCCTGTCATAGGAAAGAGTTTGTGAAACTTTAATGGGTTCAGAAAAGATTTAGAAGGATGTTGCTGGGGTAGGAGAGTTTGAGCTACAGAGAGAGGCTGAATGGACTGGGGCTATTTTCCCTGAAGCGTCGAAGACTGAGGAGTGACCTTATAGAAGTTTATAAAATCATGAGGGGTAAATAAGGTGAATAGCCAAGGTCTTTTCCCCAGGGTATAGGTTTAAGGTCAGAGGGAAAAGATTTAAAAGGAACTTGAGAGGCAACATTTTCATGTAGAGGGTGGGGCGTGTATGAAGTTGCCAGGGGAAGTGGTGGAGGCTGGTGCAATTACAACATTTAAAAGGCATCTGGATGGGTATATGAATAGGAAGGGTTTAGAGGGATATGGGCCAAATGCTGGCAAATGGGACTAGATTAATTTAGGATATCTGGTCAGCATAGTCAAGTTGGACTGAAGGGTCTATTTCCTTTAAGGTAAAGAATTGCATTTATATCCAGAAAAGTTGGAAATGCCCTGGAATGCAGAACTGACTAAAGATTAAAACTGTGGCACTTCAAGTTCACTTAACCAAACAATTGTCACATAAGAGAATGCATATTATTAGTTGTGTGATTGTTATATAACATATATCTATCATAATTTACAAACATACAATCCACTTTTTGCTATAAGTAACTAATAAAGTGTTACCTGCATACAGATCACCAAGTGCTGCTGCCAATACTTTGAAGGCACAGGTTTTACCGCCCAAAGGATCACCAACAATCATAAATCCATGACGTACGAGCATCATCTCATAAATCTGATGGAGCAAAGTACAAATTAACAGCATGCTTCATTTCAGTTGTGTTTCCTCACTGAAACACTAGCACACAAACAATCAGACATACACTATTCATATAAACGCTAAGTAGATCATTGTTTAACTTAAAATGCTTTTGCAACACCATTACCATACCTCATACGGTAGAAGTTAGAGATTAAAACTTAAATCTGGTGCAACACAAAACATTTTTAATCAACCTGCTTGGACATATTATGATACACCTCGGGGCAGGTGGGACTTATATCCAGTTTTTCTGCCCCAGAGGTAGGGACCCTACCACTAGAACACCAAGAGGCTGGCACATGTTGACCTCTCACAAAACTGCAGAGGCATCAGAGCTGTAGATACATCTATGACCAAAATAAAAACCAGAGAAAGGAAAACAAAGGGCATACGAGAGAATATGTCGACACAGAACTTTGTCAATGTCAAAATTTGACGTAATACAGAATCATGACACAGTTAATTAAGACACATTTTTAATCACCTTTGCAAATATATTATGGGGCAGGTGAGACTTGAACCCAGACCTTCTGGCCCAGATGTAGGGACTCTACCACTGAACCATAAGACCCTTAACAAGTAGCTTTACACATCTATCGGTGATTGAAGATAGCAATAATTCTAAGGTTTTTGAAGGATGTTTAATACAGAAGGAATTTCATAAAGTGAAGGGTCAGCAAAATAAGCAATCTTTGTGAGAATGGAATAAAAGGTAGAGAGGACGTACAATAGACTTAAATTAGAGGACTGGATCATATGAATTAGGACATACGGAGCTACAGAATTAGGTTTGAGCCTGTGGGTGGTTGTGTAGATACAATCAAGGTTTGTCATCAATACACTAAGTGACTTAGAACTAGCAATGCAGTAAAGTAAAAAGTTGATATGTGTAGTACAAGATAAGATGACCTTTAAACGCATTAGTGCTTGTTAACGATGCAGCTCAGAAACACACTGACTAAATCTGGTAACTAAAGTGTTTACAAAAGCATATATACAAGGAATGGTGCATGTGTGTGCATGTGCGCGAGAGGGCAACAAAAAAAGAAATAAGGAGGGAGAAGATTAAATATGAAGGTAAGCTGGCCAGTACTATAAAGGAAGACTGTAAGAGTTTCTTTAGGTATATAAAGGGCAAAAGAGCGGCAAAAGTGGACATTGGACGACTGGAAAATGACGATGGAGAGATAGTAGTGGGGAACAAGGAAATGGCTGAGGAACTGAATAATTACTTCACGTCAGTCTTCACAGTGGAAGACACGAGTAATATCCCAAAAATTCAAGAGAGTCAGGGGACAGAGCTGAGTATGGTGGCCATCACCAAGGAATAGGTGCTACTAAAACTGATTGGCCTGATGGGGGACAAATCACCTGGACCAGATGGATTACACCCCAGAGTTCGAAATGAGATAGCTGAAGAGATAGTGGAAGCATTAGCGGTGATCTTTCAGAAATCACTAGAGTCAGGGAGGGTCCCAGAGGACTGGAATATCGTTAATGTGACACCCCTGTTTAAAAAGGGAGTAAGGCAAAAGATGGAAAATTACAGGCTGATTAGCCTAACCTCAGTCGTGGGTAAGATTTTGCAGTCCATTGTAAAGGATGAGATTGCTGAATATTTGGAAGTGTATAGTAAAATAGGGCAAAGTCAGCATGGTCTCGTCACAGGGAGGTCATGCCTGACAAATCTGCTAGAATTCTTTGAGGAAGTAATGAGCAAGGTAAACTAAGGACAGCCAATGGACGTTATCTACCTGGACTTCAAAAAGGCCTTTGATAAGGTGCCACACAGGAGGCTGCTGAGTAAGATAAGGGACCATGGTGTTAGAGGCAAGGTGCTAGCATGGATAGAAGATTGGCTGTCTGGCAGAAAGCAGAGAGTAGGGATAACGGGGTCTTTCTCAGGATGGCAGCCAGTGACAAGTGGTGTTCTGCAAGGGTCAGTGCTAGGACCACAACTTTTCACTTGTACATTAATGATCTAGATGAAGGAACTGTGGGCATTCTGGCTAAGTTTGCAGATGATACAAAGATAGGTGGAAGGACAGGTAGTATTAAGGAGGTGGTGAGGCTGCAGAAGGACTTGGACAGGTCAGGAGAGTGGGCAAAGAAGTGACAGAAGGAATACAACGTGGGAAAATGTGAGGTCATGCACTTTGGTGAGAAGAATAAAACCATGGATTATTTTCTAAATGGGGAGAAAATTCAGAAGTCTGAAGTGCAAAGAGACTTGGGAATTCTAGTCCAGGATTCTCTCAAGGTAAACTTGAAGGTTGAGTCAGTAGTTAGGAAGGCAAATGCAATGTTGGCATTTATTTTGAGAGGACTTCAATATAAAAGAAGGAATGTACTACTGAGGCTTTATAAGGCTTTGGTCAGGCCACATTTAGAGTATTGTGTGCAGTTTTGGGGCCCCATATCTCAGGAAGGATTTACTGGCCCTGGAGAGGGTTCAGAGGAGGTTCACGAGAATGGTCCCAGGAATGGAAAGCTTAACATATGAGGAACGTTTGAGGACTCTGGGACTATACTCATTGGAGTTTAGATGGATGAGGAGGGATCTAATTGAAACTTTCAGAATACTGAATGGCCTGGACAAAATGGATGTTGGGAAGATGCTTCCATTGTTAGGAGAGTCTAGGACCCGAGGGCACAGCCTTAGAGTAAAGGGAAGACCTTTTAGAACGGAGATAGGGAGAGACTACTTCAGCCAGAGAGTGGTGAATCTATGGAATTCACTGCCACAGAAGGCTGTGGAGGCCAGGTCATTGAGTACATTTAAGACTAAGATAGATAGGTTCTTGATTATCAAGGGGATCAAGGGTTACGGGGAGAAAGCAGGAGAGTGGGGTTGAGGAACTTATCAGCCATGATTGAATGGTGGAGCAGACTCGGTGGGCTGAATGGCCTAACTTCTGCTCTTATGTCTTACGGTCTTATAGTATGTGTGCATGCACATGTGTGTACACACGTGTGGTGGAAGAAGTTGGATTTGGAGACAATGGATGGAATTTTGAGGGTATTAAAGGCCCAGATGCTGTAACTAGAGATATGTTGGGTAGATTGGGAAGATTATGAAAGTAATTATGAATGGCAAATCACAATGAAGGACCACGTGGGAGAAACAGAAGTCAAGAATGGTCAACCACTCCAAAGACTTTTACTTTGACAGTCAGTCTTGGTGCTGTAGACATCCCATGAGTAGTTCAAACCAAGGAATAGATGTAGAACTGAGTAGCAATGATATACATTCAAAGTTTGCAGTGGGGAAGAGAAAGTTAGAAACTCTATTGCAAGGTTCACTGGAATCAATGATTGATTTTTATGAAGAAAGAGCTTTAATGCAAAAATCTCATCAATGTGTTCTCACTATTTTTATGTTGATGCAAATTATGCAGATGAACAAATTGGTTTGAAAACAAGAGGTTTTCAAAACTAATGACAATTTATTTTGTTTGAGTATCTCGTTGATCCAACTATACTTAGGTTTTTCCCTTGGCGTCCTTAACATGCCTTAGGAAGTGAAGCAGCTCATGTCAGTCAAGCAGAAGGATATTAACTGGGGTGAGAGGAACAGGATTGGATTTCAAGATAAAAGCTGAGTCTCATGCGGGGGGCGAAGCGGCAATAAGGCAATTGTAATTGAAGCTGACACTAGACAAACGACATTAGAGGAAGGAAGTAAGTCTACTATTTCAAGGTGTCACAAGGAGCATCAGCGGGGAGGAGAGAGACCATGTGGGAGGAAGGTTAAAGAAGCAATGGTGTGTCGAGAATATATTGGTGATTATAATGGAGGGTGCAGTGCTAATGCAGCATCAAAACCACATTAGTAATCATTTCAAGGATGGCCTGAAAGTCCTTTAAACATACACTTCCCTATCCTTTAATCCAATGGTGATGCTTGAGCATAGCAATGCAAGTGACTTAAAATGCATGATTTTCCAACATCTCCAAACACAAGTAAATTTTTAAAAATACATTTTGGCTCATTCATCCAGTTGTGGTAATTTCCACTGCCTTATGTGAATCCCTTCCCCACTGAAAGCCTCCACAAATTCTACTCTACTCATGTGAAAACCAACTAGAAATAACCTAATTTATCAGCCTTATTTAGTGGCTAGCACAGTGGTTTGGCTCAGTGAATTGATCATTTGTGGATCGACAATGAAGCCTGAGTAATTGGTGCCACTCTCTTAGTATCTGCCTCTGGAAATAAAGAAGAGGAAGGATACTCTTTACCATTTGTAAATAAAAACTAGAAATGCTGGAAAATTCAGCAGGTCTGGCAGAGTTTTGAGTCCAATAATTCTTTTTCAGACTCATTATGTTAACTTTTGCCACCGAGGATGCTGGACCTCCAAAGTTACTCCAGCACTTTCTGTTTGCATTTCAGATTTCCAGTATCCAGAGTATTTTGCTTTCATCTATCATTTGTAAGTGTTTAGGGAGGGTAACAATTGGAAAGGGAGGTAATAACCATTGAAAATTCACAGAAACAAGCTCTGCCTCTTGTGAAGGATAAACCAACAGACAGTTCATCAGCTTGAAAGAACTCAAAGTCACCTGGATAATCTTCTCAATAAACCAGGGAACAGGCTGAAGTTTCATTTTCTTGATGTTGGTCTTTAACGCATGGAGGAAAACCTCACGTTCTGGGACCGGGAGGTCCACACCAGGGAACAAGTCAGATATAATTCCCTAGAACAACAAGAGAGCGAGAGAGCAAAATTGTGTTTTAACAATGAATGATGTAGATTTTTATTATAACTCTGTGTGCTGGCCCAAGGATGCTTCCAATTTTTCCCTTAGTGTTCTAATCTTGGGTTAAAAGTTAAAAACCCAAGTAATTCCAAACCAGTTGTCTGTTTGGAGTTCGACATGACTCTTCTCCAGAACTTTTCAACTTCAGACTTGAAACATTAATTCTGTTTCTCTCTCCACAGATGCTGCCAAATCTACTAAGTGCCTCCTACATTTTCTTTTTTCATTTCATTTTTCCAGTATCCTCAGCATTTTGCTGTTATACAGTAATCAACCTATTTGGCCACACTACTTCCTGCAGTTTTGTCTCATGGCAGTTATTAAGAGCTTTGGTAAAAGTGCATCTGGATTCTTGTGTGCAATTGTGAACTTCCTACCTAAGAGAAGATATACTAGCCATTGAGGGACTGTCCTAGGATGAGAAATTGGCTCAACTGGGCCTGTATTCACGAGTTTAGAAGGATAAGAGGGGATCTGATTGAAACGTACAAAATTCTAACAGGGCTGGATAGACTAGATGGAGGGAGGATGTTTCCCACGATTGGGGAGTCTAGAAACAGGGAACACAGTCACAGGATACAGGGTGGATCATTTAGGACTAGTAGCTGAAGTAATTGGATTATAGGTCATCCTCTTCACTTACTATTTAGTTGTTAACACTTTACTCACACCGTCTGACACTTTTGATCACTCACAGAGACTTATTTTTTGGCACTCCACTCACACCATTTGTATGATCTTTTGATCTCTCTGCCCATTGATCTCTCTGCCTATAAATTCTGTGCTTGTGATTTTCTCCACTTCACCTGACAAAGGGGCAGTGCTCAAAAAGCTTGTGATTTCAAATAAACCTATATAGCCTGGACTATAACCTGGTGTTGTGTGACTTCTGACAAAATATATAACAAGAAACTGATGTACACATAAGGATATGTATTCAGGATGGACTCACTCATTATTCCAAGTACACTGGAACAGTTCTAATATATATTCTAATTAAAGTTAGATTGGTGTTATAGGGTAACCATTGTATTTCTATTTACTTACATGTAATTTTTAATGAACGAGTAATGTACCCAAAACTAAATTTCGTCTGGGATTTTCTATTTGGACAACGAAGTGAAAGCAAACTGAACACTGAGCTTCTAGCCCAGAGAAAGAAGTGCTATAAATGTGCCACAAGATCTCTATCAGTTGATTAACACCTAAAAGGAAAAGTTAATTTGTCTTTGGAACTCATCCAAATTGTTATCTTTACAGTCGCTGTAAAGACACATCTTCCCCACACTCCCCCTGTATGCATTTCACAGGGAAGGTACCCTCCGGGATACCCTAGCCCATTCCTTGACCACCAACACCACCCCACCTTCCCATGTAACCAGAGAAAGTGCAACACCTGCCCCTTCACCTCCTCCCTGCTCACCATCCAAGTGCCTAAAAAGTCTGAGGATGGATCACCGGACCCAAAACGTTAACTCTGCTTTTTCCTTCACAGATGCTGCCAGATCTGCTGGGCTTTTCCAGCAACTTTGTTTTTGTGCCTAGAAAGTCTTTCCAGCTAAAGCAGCATTTCACCTGTACCTCTTCCAATCTGGTCTATTGCATTCGCTGCACTCAATGTGTCCTACTCTACATTGGAGAAACCAAACGCAGACTACTGGGCGACCGCTTTGCAGAACACCTCTGGTCCATGTGCAAGCATGACCCCCAACCTTCCCGTAGCTGGTTATTTTAACACAGTGTCCTGCTCATGTGCCCACTTGTCTGGCCTCAGCACGCTGCAATGCTCCAGCGAATTGGAGGAACAACATCTCATCTTCAGACTAGGCACTTTCTGGACCAAATATTGAGTTCAACATCTTCACATTGTGAATTCAGTCCCATATCTTCTCTTTCTTTTAGATTTACTTGTTGCATCTTTGTCACCATGTCCTCTCTCCCCTCCCCCCACTCCTGTAGTATTGTCTGTTCTTTCCAGTCTGGCAGTTAGACATACCACTGTTCTGCCATTCTCACATTCCAATCACTTATTCTGCACTATCAGCACCCTTTCTCCCCGCAGCAGTCCATCTCCCCGCTAAATGCTGCTCCCTCCACACTTCACGTCAGCTCCGATGAAGAGTCATCTCGACTCGAAACATTAGCTTGCTCTGTCTCCAAGGATGCTGCCTGACCCATTGTGACTTCCAGCATTTTTTGTTTTTGGTCATTTAAAATTGTCACTTCTAGACTGTGCTGAGATCATTCCCTGCCTAAGGACATTGTGGGTCTACCTACAGCACATGGATTGCAGCGGTTCAAGAAAGCATTTCACCACCACCTTCTCAAGGGCAGCTAGGGATGGGCAATAAATGCCCTAACCTGTGACACCCATATCCCATGAGTGGGTAAAAAAATTACCCACATCATTTTAGTGCATTAAATTTTGTAGATTGTTGCTCACAATTAATAACTGGTGCATGTCAGACTCAATGTCTCTCAATAGATCTTGTTTGAAACAAAGTCACTTTTTTTCAAAATATACCTGAAATAGTGGTACATCCTGGGACAAAAATTTCGCCAAGTTCACATCCATCAAGGCTTGTAACAGCAGAACACTCTCATTTTCTTGCGGGAAATTCAACTTCAAATTTCCAGCTGCTGTCAGGACTGACTTCACTGCACGCATCCCATAATCATAGTGATGCTGTGATGATAATTGTTCAGAACACAGGCGGTAGGTGGCTACAATCTTCTGGGAGAGACTAGACAGGAGGAGAGTATAGGGGGAGCAGGTAAAGAGAGGAATGCAACAAAGGGCTATGCTGTAAATGTTACTTTACTTTGTCTAAAGAATTAAATTCCAAGAATGTTCAGAGTTAGCAGTGAGATTAAGAAACAACATTAGACAGGAGGGTTCCACCATCATTAACAATTTAATGCAGCAACTCCACACTTAGCTTTCAGGCTGGAGTTTAGTACACTTCAAGTTTAAGTTGTATTGTCTGTCCGTGAGCTAGGTGTAAGCAGCGTTCCAAGAGGATAACTATATGCAGATAGGTAATATCAGCTTCAAGTTAGCAGCTAGGGTCAGGACTGCTACATTGGCAACTGTGGACATGTAACATCAGTAACCAGTGATGTAAATGCAACACAGGTGTACACTTGATGTGCCAAAATGTCAATCCAGCCATCAGTGAACTCTGATGATGATATGTGGGATCTTGTGGTAGTCATGGGATGTGGGTATCATTGGCAAGGCCAGTATTTATTGACTATCCTTCATTGTCCTTGAACTGTATAGCATGCTCGGCCATTTCAGAAGGCAGTTGGTCGTCAACCACATTACTGTGGAAAACAACAAACATTGGAGATCACAGTGGGTCGGGCAGCATCAATGAGGAGAGAGCAAGCTAATGTTTCAAGTCTAGATGCTCTGACGAAGAGTTATTTGGACTCGAAACGTTTGCTTGCTCTCTCTCCATCGATGCCACCCGACCCTCTGTGATCTCCAACATTTGTCGTTTTTGGTACAGATTCCAGCATCTGCAGTAATTTCCCCCCACATTACTATGGATCCTTTTTCAGTTCCAAAGAAGAGTCATACTGGACTTGAAATGTTAACTGTTATTGTCTCGAGAGCGGCTGCCAGACACGCTGAGTTTGTCTAACACTTTCTTCCTTTTTTAGTTCAGATCTCCAGAATCCACAATATTTTGACATGCCTAGGGCCCTGACTTCTGAAAGATTTAAAATAAGTGCATATTAATTTGCGCCTTACCTTCGCGAGTCAATGAATCCCATGGAGTAAAGAGAAATTTCACCAATCAGAGCATAGTCTGGGACCATCATAGCAACTGTACGAAATAGTGCCTGGAAAATTACAGCATAAAGTGAATTTTAAAATATTCAACAGTATAAAAGTACATCAATTGTACTTTGTCTGTCTTGTCTCCTGTCGTTAGTTCCAAAGTTGGAATATTGACTTCCAATAGATTGGTCCACATTTCTGGATATTTGGCAATGGTTAGCCATTGCCCTCTGCTGGATGGCTGGTCAGGACACTCTCCTACTCTGACCACCTGTTATCAGGAAGGAGTTACAGACAATCAACCTGCTTGACCATGTTATGAATTCACTTTCCACAGAATCACAGAAGTCTTAGGGCACAGAAAGAGGCCATTTGGACCATGATGCCTACACTGGTTCTTCAAATGAGCATCATTACCTAAAGCCAATCTCCTGTGTTTTCCCCATACCTTTGCATGTTATTTTTATCTAAATAACCATCCAATTTCCTCAATTGAACCAGCCTCCACCACATTTCCAGGCAGTGCATTCTATTCCCTATCTACTCGCTAAGTGAAAAAGATTTATTCACATCACCCTTGCTTGTTTTACACAACACTTTACATCTATGTTCTCTTGTTCCTGTTTCTTTTACAAGCAGGTGCAGCTTCTCCTTATTTACTCTATCCAGCACACTCATGATTTTGAAAATGTCTGTCAGATCTCCTCTTGGCCTTCTTCTTTCCAAGGAGAACAGTCCTATTTTTTTACAATCTATCCTATTCCTTCAGTTCCTCACCCCTGGAACCATTCTTGTAAATCTCTTCTGCACTCTCTCCAATGCATTCACATCCTTTCTATAATGTGGCACCTAGAACTGTACACAAAACTCTAGCTGAGGTCTAACAAATGTCATATACAAGTTCAACATCACCCCCTTGCTCTTGTAGTCTGTGCTCCTATTAATAAAGCCAAGGACACTACAATTTTTTTACTAAAAACCGAAAGAACTGCGGATGCTGTAAATCAGGAACAAGTACAAAGTTGCTGGAAAAGCTCAGCAGGTCTGGCAGCATCTGTGAAGG